TATGCATTCAATTAACTTATGTCTACAAGAATAACAGACTGCAAAATCAGTGGGACAGATTTTGTAAGTAACCCCCATACAAAGTGTATAAAGTCCTTCAACAGGAAATGGAAGCTTTTGTGTGTATTCACTGTATACATTATGAAAATTGAACCTAATTATTATAAAGTCTATATTCCCAGTATCGTGTTCTGAGTTTTTATATGTTTCAAAAAGAACGAAATTTAAATACCAGTATAAAAAGATAAGTGCCTTCTCCCCGCTGACACTACTAGAGAGAAATTAATTATTTCCACAGCAATGTTTATTCAATTTGAATAAGATCGTTAAGTTGTATATTTTCAAAAGGGAATGATCAAATCTAGACTAAAGTTCAAGCTGTGTGTGTGTGTTGACTTTAGAAAAAAAGATTTGTTTGTATAAATAATCCTGTCAAAATTGATAAATCCCATCCCTTGAGATACAACAGCCCAACTCGTTAATACATTGTTAGGTTGATTTTATAGAGATTTTATTTTTATTCCTTAAAAATATACAGACATTTTTTAATTTCTTGTTCAGATGTAGTCATATTGAATCCAAAAGATATACATTTTTGTTTTCATTTTAATCATAAGTTGAAAGATTATTAAAAAAAGGCTACATGGATAATCAGTCAGAAGTTGACCAGACTTTTATTGTGTTAGATTGGTTAACAATGAACTGCAGTGGTGAATTCACTGATCGAGGTTTGATATTTATTACTTCAAGTCCAGACCACTTGTTCACAGCGGGTCCCTAATCCCCGCGGCATGTGTATTAGGTAGCCGTGTGTAATAGGTAGCCATGTGTAATAGGTAGCCATGTGTTTTGGGTAGCCATGTGTAATAGGTAGCCATGTGTAATAGGTAGCCATGCGTTTTAGGTAGCCATGTATAATAGGTAGCCATGTGTAATAGGTAGTCATGTGTTTTAGGTAGCCATGTGTTTTAGGTAGCCATGTGTAATAGGTAGCCCTAATCCCTGCGGCATGTGTTTTAGGTAGCCATGTGTAATAGGTATTCATGTGTTTTAGGTAGCCATGTATAATAGGTAGCCATGTGTAATAGGTAGCCATGTGTAATAGCTATAGGTAGCGATGTGTTTTAGGTAGCCATGTGGTTTGGTAGCCATGTGTAATTGGTAGCCCTAATCCCCGCAGCATGTGTTTTAGGTAGCCATGTGTAATAGCGAGCCATGTGTAATAGGTAGCCATGTGTTTTAGGTAGCCATGTGTAATACTGAGCCATGTGTAATAGGTAGCCATGTGTTTTAGGTAGCCATGTGTAATAGGTAGCCATGTGTAATAGGTAGCCATGTGTAATAGCTATAGGTAGCGATGTGTTTTAGGTAGCCATGTGGTTTGGTAGCCATGTGTAATTGGTAGCCCTAATCCCCGCAGCATGTGTTTTAGGTAGCCATGTGTAATAGCGAGCCATGTGTAATAGGTAGCCATGTGTTTTAGGTAGCCATGTGTAATAGGTAGCCATGTGTAATAGGTAGCCATGTGTAATAGGTAGCCATGTGTAATAGCTATAGGTAGCGATGTGTTTTAGGTAGCCATGTGGTTTGGTAGCCATGTGTAATTGGTAGCCCTAATCCCCGCAGCATGTGTTTTAGGTAGCCATGTGTAATAGCGAGCCATGTGTAATAGGTAGCCATGTGTTTTAGGTAGCCATGTGTAATAGGTAGCCATGTGTAATAGGTAGCCATGTGTAATAGGTAGCCATGTGTAATAGGTAGCCATGTGTAATAGGTAGCCATGTGTAATAGGTAGCCATGTGTAATAGGTAGCCATGTGTAATAGGTAGCCATGTGTAATAGGTAGCCATGTGTAATAGGTAGCCATGTGTAATAGGTAGCCATGTGTAATAGGTAGCCATGTGTAATAGGTAGCCATGTGTTTTAGGTAGCCATGTGTAATAGGTAGCCATGTGTTTGATGCGGATTAGTTCTGAAATGGTCTATAACCTTTACTACTATGTTCATACAGTCATAACCACTCAGGAATTACAGGAAATAGCGCAGATTTGTTTTGAAATGATCCATACCATGTATCTTACCCTGCAATTAGTGGTGGCTTTATAATTTCCACTCATTGAACCAACTCACTGACAACCGAAAGTGAATCATTTGCGCACAACAGACCAAATATTACTAAAACAACATTGTCATTGAAATATTAGAAAACATTACTTTATACTCAAAGAATAATTGATATCTAGAATAGTCTCCCACAAGATGTTATTTCATCTCGTAACGTATTTGACTTTGAGAAAAACTTCAACAAATTCTGGAATTATCTTGAGTTGAAGTACAATCATACCGTCGTTTATATAGGCTTATGTTATGTTTACCAAATTATATTGATGTGGATACAGCTCTAGGCAGCAATGCCTGCGTCCACTAATATCCTATTAAATCCTTTTAAAAATATTTCTGTCTCTGAAAATGGTCATGGAGTTGATATGAAATTTTCATGCAAAATAAGCGGACATTATTTTGAATTTATGAGCTTGTGCCGTTTTCTTTCATTTGCAAAGTAGTGATCTCCCCTTAATATCGCTTTGGATTTATAACTGTAGCATACATGTAGTGTAGCCAGACCACTTCTGTTGACTAGGTATCTCAGTCGAGTAAAGCAATAGCATTAACAATCTAAATTATTATTCCTCATCGATTCTCCCTCACGCGATCCTTTTTCCCTGTCGAGTATCCCTCTCGGAACCCCTCGCACATTATCGGATGAGTTGTCTCTCTTTGTTACACCTCCCAACAGCTGAAGAACTCGAAGGGCTATAATTGTTGTTCAATTTGATGTAAAATCAAAACATTGACAGTGATAGGTTTTGTAGTATATATATATGCTACCAGACCTAATGAAATAAGGGCGAACAGGTCTGTCAGTCACAACAGTGACAACACAGGGGCTTGTTACATTGCCCAATGTTGATGTATTTTTGTTATATGTGTTACATAACACAGACTCCACAGATGGAATTTCGGAATAATAAAACAGTTATTGCCCTGGTGTGAAGGAGACCTGAAGATTTGTTCCCCCTTAACAAATCATGTTTCCCTTGGGCTTCGCCCTCGGGAAACATGATTTATCTCGGGGAAACAACTCCTCAGGTCTCCCTCACACCAGGGCAATAAGTATATAGTCGAGGGTTCGTATCGAGTTCTGAGCCCGATGAGCTTTTACACTGGCCAGAAAACTGTTGTTGTTTATTTTTTCTTTATTTTATTTTCACAAAAGTTCCGCAAGGTACCTCTCCTTGTCAGAAATGATTAATCTTAAATGCTGTAGTCATGTTGGAGAAATGCTGTAATTTACAGTTTTGGCATCTGGTGGTTACAGGCATTCTTAAAAGTGTTTTTTTTTTACACTTAAAGACAATTATGACATAAAGATAAATTCATAGACACTTAAAACAGAAAATTGTAGCAAAACAAATATTTAAAGCTACAAGGTAAAAGTGAAAAAAACATGGGACTACCCGATTCTGGTAGCTTGCCAGTGTTCCATCTTATATAATTAATTCTAATCAAGTGAAGCATCACCGACCCAGTCAGCATTTTAGGTGCCTGAGTGCAAATTGAGCAGGCTTTGTGTGTGTCCTCAGATCTGTCGTCTTTATGTCACTTTCTCTATTTGCATATAAGACGATTTGTGTCGGTCTGTCTGGTATCTTTTGGAATCTCATCAATAATGTACAAAACAGGGATTATTTTCAGGAAATTTAATATTTTTCAGGAGCTTGACTTTAGTTGATAATGAAGAAAAATGTGGTGTAGGGAGTTTCACACTGTCTCTACAGCAAAACTTGAAACATGTTAAGTAGGAATGTTGCTTTAACCCCTGAAATTTCATAATGAACTATTCCATCCTTTGAATTGGAAGATTTCAAATGTGTCTTCAGGGGTGAACAAGTTCATAATTGTCAGAAGTTGACTGCTATCGTATCTATACTCTGACGTGTTACCTGACCTGATCAGGACATTGAGGCCGGGAGGTGAAAACCTTTACGATTTATTGAGCTGTATACAGTAGCTGTCAGTACAGTATTACTGATGGTATATTGAACATATTTTATAGTCGGATTTGTAAGCTAGCATTGACATATGAAATGAAACATGGTAAAATTTTCCGCTCCACAGGATAATGTCCAATAGTTTATGGTGTAGGAGTCGGCATAAAATCAATATTCAGGCATGCATGGTTCCTTTTCAATATCTGTTTCAATTTCATAATGTTAACAGATACACAAAGAGTGAAATATTATAATATTATCAATAATAGTGTTTTTTTGTTTGCTTTTTTTTCAAATGTTACTTGAGCATAATTCACAATCACAATATAATTTGTACATGATTATTAACTAAACTACAATTGTTATAAAATATCATTTTTATTTACAACAGAATCCAGTTGATGAATCTTGTTCAAACTTCTATATAAGACTTTCTCAAATATTTTACAAATAATATTGATTTTTTGTGGGAAGGAGAAACAAAAGCAGTAGTGGATATAATACTGATATTAACAGGTAACCAGGCCACACTAGTCGATCATTAAAGTTAAACTGTTGGCACTATTTCAAATGTTTGAATTACAGGTGACCAGGCAACACTTGATGTTAAAGTTTTTAATTTTTATGATGTTAAAGTTTAATTGTTAATGGGATGGTCAGTTTGTGCAGTGGATATAGCGCACTCGCTTTTCACCAAGGCGGGCGGGGTTCGAATCCCCGATCGGACGTGGGTTTTCTCCGAGTACTCAGGTTTTTACCCACATTGAGACCCCCTTTGTGCTACAAGAGTGATTAATAATATAAGTTGATAACTTGTTTCATAATTGTTACAAAAAAATAAAGTTTATACTTCTATATATCATATTTTAATTTATAAGTTTACGAATAAACAGCCCACACTAGTCAATAAAGTTTTTATTTGACTGTTGACAATTTGAATGTTTATAGGTAACCAAGCAGCGCTGGGCGATATCTACCAGAACATCGACTTCAGCTATGTGCGAATCGTGAAGATGATGTACTCCAGTATTCCCGAGGTTCGCTTGCTGGCCGGGTCGGCTTTGGCTGCCTTTGCTTACAACAACATCAACCAACAGAAACGTATAGCTGACCAGGGGGGAGTGCGCTTCAATTGTTTTGTGCCGTTCTTACAGTCCGATGATGAGTTCTTCAGGTGCAATGCAGCTTTTCAGGTAAAAATCAAATCCTTGACCGTCTTCAATCACCAAAACTTCTTTTTCAACACCATGTTTTCAGCAAATACCATGCTGAAAATGATGTCAAAACAATGTGAAAAGGTAGAATGTGGATTCAAAGCTCTTAACCCTTTCACCCCTATGTAACTTGAGTGAACTCTACCATGCATTAATCTGGAAGAGTCCATTATGTTCTACAGTGGTGAAAGGGTTAAACTTGCCATATGTAATTTTTGAGTTGGCCTTGAAAGAATTTTTCAATTCTGGCCTCTAGGATGAGTGGCTTGCTTGGGTTGAAGGATATCATTTTTGTTCTAATAAGTCATCTCAAATCTCTAGAGGCTGTCAAATGTGTTAAAAATGTCTACACAACAACAATGGCTGTAGTATTTAGAAAATTGTGTCAGGTGTTAAACATTTCAAAGACTTCCTCAGAACAATGAAGCCAAGAGTCATGATATTTTGCCTGAAGCTGATTAAATGATCAAGTGACTGTTGCTCGCTTGGATGGAGGATATCAAATTTGTACAAATAACAGACCTTGATGATTTACAATGTCACAAATGTCAGTAGTATGTTAGGAATAGAAACAACAACAAAAAAAACACCCCACAAGGTGTGTGGTGAAGATATTGAGGGCTTTTGTTATCAGTAATTGACAGCTAAAAACAGAATTACTTCACATTGTTTGGGGCTGTGGTGGCCAAGTGGTCAAGGCGTCTAAAATTTTGTTACCACTAGCCCTCCACCAATGGGTTGCGGGTTTCGAGACCTACGTTGGGCAGTCGCCAGGTACTGGCCGTAGATCGGTGGTTTTTCTCTGGGAACTCCGGCTTTCCGCCACCACCAAAATCGGGCACATCCTTAAATGACCATAGCTGTTAATAGGACGTAAAACATAAACACTTCTAACCATTTACTTCATGCTTACATCTGTTACAGGTGGTCGTGCTGTCTAAAATTATCCCAGATGAAGAGCAGGCATTATCTTCAGCAGCGGGGATAAAACTGCTCATCGACCTGCTACAGGACTCGACCTCTAACGACACTCTGGCCTTGGCTACCGATTGTGTAGCTCGTCTGGGACACACTCGGGCAGGTGAGATATACAGTAACATTATACAGACATTCCCATTCAGGTGTACTCATGACACGATTTTGTGTAATAAGTCTCATCTATGGTAGTAATAGGTGACCAAATATATGAAGTCCTAAATTTGCCAGTTTGCTTATTCTTCAATTACATCAATCATTTCTTCAAATATACATTTAAAATTTCAACTATAGACCTAATCAGTATGGAAAATATTGGGGCAATATACATAAACTTCTTGCATTTCCTGATAGAAAATGCCATAATACATACAGAATGTAAAAGGAAAATTGTAAGGAAACATGTTTAATAAAAAATACGTTTGTACCACAATTTTAACTGGACTTTATTTAGAACTATCACAAAGTTGTTTTTTCCTTGTTAGAGTTAGGGTTATATACTTCCCTACACACACCTGTGATTTGATAAAAAAAAATGTGTTAGAGTTAAGGCTATATGCTACGTCGCACATGATAACTCATTTGCATAAGAATAAAATGGTTCTATTTTACCTTACAAATATAAATTCTGAGATTTTCATGGAAGTAAATTGTCTCTTTAATTTCATTGACGTTATAGATCTCCATGACATTTATTACTGAATTACCAGAATTTTATTGTTGCACGAATTTGCCAAAATTCAAATTCATTGGAACTCTTTCCAGAAGGAGATGTGTGGCATAGTTAAGATAGGCTAGATCCTTAAAACACATATACGTTCTTTATTTTAGGATCGCCGAACCACTGCCAAAATCTCTAACTTATTGGAAACTGTTTTTCTCTGGCATTAATTACTAAATTTAGCTTTTATAAATCATTTCTGGAAAGAAAACTATACCCCCTTGGACTTTAATGAGAAATAATACAGACGAAGGAAACAAAATATGATCAACAACAGATCGACTCCAGTGTTCTGGGTGTAAACCTTGGGTTGAAGTTAAGGAGCGTGGTTACTGTATATATATATAGGAAAACCACAGTGCAGTGGGACAGGGATCCTTAATAATTCATCTTATTCTAAATATGCAGTAAGTGTATACTACTGTGACAGTCGTGTCTTGACGTTATATTTTGTATGCTTCCCTGCGTTATGCTTCCTGCGTTATTTCTTCGTCATCGTGTTCACCTGTTTTAAGTGTTCTTCCATTCCTTGATTGGAAGTTTTTATTGAAGTACACGGTAAAAAATACTTGATTCTGAAATATAATCTTAATCGCTGTAAATACCCCTTGTTGTATACACGTATATATAATGGTATATGTAATGGCAGGTAGACAAGAGATTATATATTAAATTACGACCACAAGAGCATGCAAGGTTATGGGATTAGGGTGTTAATACTTTTATATAAATCTGTCAGTACTAAGGCCGATTGTAACTGTTTATATACCAATACTACAGTGAACTCAGAGTAAAATAAAAAAATTTGGAGTCCATTTTTTCCCACTACCGGTAAATTTTGGCCCATTTCCCAAGTGGAAAATACTAAGATTTTTAGCAAGTCTTTGTTCAAATGTTCCAAAGTCGTAATTCCCAATTCGGATGCACATTTAACCCAAACCCTGCCTTTCCACTAAACAATATAACAATTTAACACTAGAAACCAAGATACATGGGGTGCCCCTTCAAAAAAAACAACCTTGAAATTAAAGGAGAGTCAGTTTTTCATGATGAATATAATAAAGTAAAAATAAATTTTGACATGTTTTGTTTTACAGCTGATGACATAGTCTCAATCAAGTTGTTAGGTCATCTTGTATCCTAGTTCTACCTATAAATCATAAATGTCACCATCATTTTATGAGCTAAACATGCAGAATCTGGGTTAAATGTTTCAAATTTTCTTTCTGTAGTCAATAATGTGCAGTACTATATATATTCACCAACCGAAGAATTAACATGTTTCTAAAGGACATTTTCTTTATTATAACAGGATGTATAAATAAATCGATGCAAAACTCCCTTTTAATAACTTTCCTTATTGAATCACTCATAAAGGAATTATTTTAAAGTTTGAAACAATCTGAAGTGCAAGAAGAAAATTTCAAAACATGTACAGACTATAATGTTCCTTTCAATAGAACAAGAATTGCCTGAAAATTGACATTTTAATATTATTTTTTTATGACAGGAAAAAGCTTTTTTGCTCTTCAATTGTTTTAATGAGCACTATAAAATGTAATATTTAATAGGTCGTTCTGCAGTGGTCCCAGGCAAGTAGATACACATGACAATTATGATTTACTCGCCCTGGGCCACAAAGATTTTTCTTGCAGTGTCAATGTTAATACCTAAATATTATAACTTGAGACATTTGTCTTCAATAATTGTGCTTTTTGAATTTAGAAAATTTGTTTTGTGTTTATCTGAGAAATGAAATCTTCACAATACACTGTATTACTACAATGGCGGGCAAGTACTGAATCCTAGCTACCATCATCCTGGCCTTGTGGTCTAAAGCCTGATGGAATATTGACACAATTATGTCGATTTATAGACCTTGACTTTCCTAGCTGAGATTTTGTCGAGTGTTTATTTTGGTTTTGTATAAAATGCATGAACCTATACTACATTGCCTGCAAACAACAGTTCATATTCTATGGACTTGTTTGAGTTTTACAGAATAAAAGAATATTTATTCAGCGTCACAGTTGTTACAAAATAATACATGAGCTGTTCAGAGCTTTTCATGTGACAATATAAATATCTGCGTGAAGATCGTTAAATTGAAACCATAAAACTTGTCTAGTGTTGACTTTCCTGAATTTATACTGTTTTCCGTTTGACTAGGAGTAATATTTAGACACCAGAGAAAGATTTTAACTATAGGAGGCAGCTATAGCTATCAGACCTTTGTTTTCACCCACATTTTCTTTTCTGCTCCGTATATAACAGTATACCAGGTATATGCCTGTGGGCTTACATCAATATCCGAGGCACAAGATGATGGTTTCACCGTAAGAGGTGTAAAAATCAATATCCTAGAACAGTGCCTCTTCACCTGTAACGAATACCTAGAACAGTGCCTCTTCACCTGTAACGAATACCTATGAGTGTAAAGTCGCAGTGGACGTTTTGGCACCTGTCCACGCCGTGCAGTCAAATGTCAGAGACAGTAACATGTATTGTGTACAGTGAAACCTGTGCTGAGAGACCACCTTCAGACAGCCACATGTATTGTGTACAGTGAAACCTGTATTGAGAGACCACCTTCAGAGAGCCACATGTATTGTGTACAGTGAAACCTGTGCTGAGAGACCACCTTCAGACAGCCACATGTATTGTGTACAGTGAAACCTGTACTGAAAGACCACCTTAAGGAAATATACAAGGCTGGTCTCTGTATGCAGGTGGACTTTATATACAGGTTCCTATATATTTTTTCTGTACCCGGTGTGTATGTGAATCTCACTTCAATGAAGAACACACTTCAGTACCATTTCATTGACGCCATAAAGTGCACTATTAGGTTTGCGACCCGTAGGACGGCGGTTTTTACTGATTTCATCACGCCAGTATATGCTGTATTATATAGAGTATCACATTACACAAGTTTCACTCTATAAATTTATCAAGTATGAACAATTTTACGAAAGCTTATAACAGCCTGGTCCAACATGAATTTGTAAAATATAGCATTTTTTTATTGATATTGGAAAGATATGCATTCTTTTTCATGATTTGGGAAAATAAAGCACGTTTTTTGTTATGTGAAGCAGCCTGTATTCAGCTGTAAAACCCGGCAAAAAATCACACCAACATGAATAGATAAAGTGTTTGATGAATTTTTTGACTTTACTGTCAAGCTTGCCATGCGTTTGAGACGGTACTTACCTGGTATAGACAATAACACAGACAATCATTGGTTTTTATTGGAGGTGGAACCCTCATCATTAATTAATGCTGTTGTGATCTGTAATTGTGGCACTGATCGTATATCAACCAAATTTGCATACATTAATTCCGAAAAAGTATGGATTTGTTTGGCTTACGCCCTGCAGATATATAGGGTGTAGTTTATCAGTCAGCTTTATACTGTTAATGGCATCTATGTAAATAAAAGTTTATAAATTATTTAGAGAAAATTAGACACTACTGCCTATTGAACTGAATATGTAATGAACTAACAGGTCTTTATCTGGAATGTGGAATATACTCTGAATGCAAATTATGAAATAATGAAGGAGCTTTGATTTAATTATGATAGATTTTATTACCCTACGAGTCAAAAGCATCACGTTTGTGTATTGATTATGTAAAAAATAAACCTATTGATCTTCGTCTCACCTCCCCAGAAATACACCATTATCTGCTTTGATCTGGGTTTTTTTAACCAGTGATAAATATCTGGTCGGCTGTAGAAACAGTTTGAATGTTGCTCCAGTGCTTTTCTTCACCAGAGTGAGGTTATAGATTTTACACGTTATTGTTCGAGTCGTTTCTTTAGTAAGTGTCCTTTGTAGTTTCCGTGATGTTTTGACAAACGTGGCGGCGGCGGCAAAAACAAACTTCCTCCAGTTATAGGGATTAATATAAGTAATGAATATTTAAAACTCTATCAGGTAGGCAGGGGATAACTTCTATGAAAATTTTATGTCTTGGGGAATCAAACCCCTGGCAGTTTGAGTGAAACTTTAATAATTGGGCCTGTGGGGTTACCAATACAAAAAAAACGCTGTTTATATCCGGATGTAGACACTCACAGCAGGGGGTCAAAGTTGTGAGCGAATTGGAGTACGTTTTCAAGTCCATATTCTATATCTACATAGCACACAACAACTCATGTTTTGTAAGCTTGGTGGATTGGTCGAGTGGTTAACACTCCAGCCTTCCACGTCGGCAGCCGGGGTTCTATCTCCGAAGTCGTCGTACGCATGGATATTCAGAGAAAGTGTTTTTCTCCCGCCCACACAACTCCAACGACCCAGGTGGAGTATAAAATGATCTGGGGTCGATGTTGCGGTATCTGTGCTGTAGCATTCAAGTGAGGTGGCGCTATAAATGATGCCTTTGGCAGCACAGTTCCACTACAAACAGAACACATTACATCTCCAGCACACACACATAGGGAGATATTAGCCAGGTGGCATAGGAATAGTAGTTAGCATCTGATAAGGCACCTCCTGTAAATTCCTCAAAATTGTATTGATTAATGTATATGCTAATTGTTTTAATTGTATATCTATGTACCGAAAGCGCTGTAGAGTGGCTTATGTTAGCTAGATAGGGCTCTATATCAAATAAGTAACGACTCCAACAGACTGATCATCCTAAAATGGTCGAAATATTTTCTTATCATCTCAGTTATAAGCACTTTTTTCCATAAAGCTGTCATCTTTGGTCGGTCACCGCATTACCGTTTTAAATTTCATGTGTAAAGGCACAAAATGGCCAGGCTATGTTAATGATTGGCCCTGTTAAACCATAAATAAACTCGTAACTTACAGATGGAGGTTTGTGGATGTTGTTTAATCATGGTGGACATATTTTGGGGTCATACTTTAGCTCTATATGTCCATCATTCAGACCTCATCTTTGAGTCTCTCATTGTGGTACCGGGGATATTTTACCATTAACTGACCTCATTTTGAGTCTCCTGGTATGCTATGACTTTATTTTTTAGTCTCCAGGTTCAGTACCGAGGGGTATTTTGCACTGTCTATCGTAGATGATCTCATCTTTGACCATAATGGACTTATCCATATCAATGCATGGTAGAGTCTACTAAAGACACATAGGGGTGAAAAGGTTAATCTCAGTCTTTGAATCTTGTATTTTGTAGGAGTTCCTGCGGCCATGGTGTCCATCCACGCTGTAGAACATCTGTGTAGCCTACTGCAGCACAAAGCGGAACAGGTGCGGGGTAACGCGGCCATCGCCCTCGGTTACCTCTCGTACAACCATTCGGCTGAGAGACAGCTCCTCAACAGGTATAACGGAATGATTCTGATGGCATGGGTTCGCAATGTTGTCATCATGCTGTGATTAATATTATCTGACGGTTGACATTTAGGATTCAAACTTACATGTACCCATGTCAACAAAGCAGCAATCAAGTTAGATATTCCGAATGGCGCTGATCAGTTCGGTATGAACACAAACAGTTGAAAACTTTGTTTTTTTGTGAACTTTCGAAAATATCTTTTTCCTTTGTCAAGCAAAGAGTGCAAATGACTGTTGTCTCGACTGTAAACCGCTGAAAACAACTCACTAAGCAACAATGTAACGAATCAGAGACATTTCGCCCGATAGCACGTAGGCAGGCAGTGAAAGGGATGGGTAGTATGTTTACCCATTCCTCCCCTTTGTGGATGTTAAAATGGGTTTATAAAGATGGCTCAGCTGTCGACCCCCCTCGTCTCTGTTCATCGGCAGTTGTGTCACTGCAAATGTCTCTAAATGTTAGAATTGTTTAACCATAAATATCTCTTAATATAAACGTTATTTTATATTTCTCTAAATGTGGTGATTGTTCTGCTATAGGTGTCGCTCCAGTCCATACCTGATCCGGGTCCTGCTGTATTACACAAAGCAGAGTAGAATCAGCCCTGCTTTCCTAGAGAGTTGGAAACATTACAAAAAGATTGGCCTACCGCCCATCGCGTAAGTACCGAACAGTGGCATCAGTATCATGTCTGGGGGTAGTTAACCTTCAGCAATAGTTTCTCTGTTGTATAGTGTATTAAAAAATTCACCCCTGAAGACACATTTGAACTCTTCCAGTTCAAAGGTTGGAATAGTTCATTATGAAATTTCAGGGATGAATGAGTTAAGGTAATGGAATGTTATATAGCTGGGTCAATAATTCAGGTCAAGAAAACAATTCTAAAATTCTCTACACCTCTTAAACCTATCTATGATAAATAATGAAATCTTGACTTGTAAATTTAGGAGGGAGACTCCCGATTTTGAACCCTTAAATGAACCCTTAAATGTAGTTTATTTTTCAATCAATTAATTTGCTAATCTGTTCCTTTATTCAAAGATCTTATGATTACATCTGAAAGAACAACAGAATATAGGTCATTTTAACTCATTCACCCCTGAAATTTCATAATGGACTATTCCAACCTCTGAACTGGAAGAGTTCAAATGTGTCTTCAGGGGTGAATGTGTGAAAGGATTATTTGTTTTGAGGGACTATATACACACATTTTGTTTGTGTTAATTTTGAGCAGAATCTCCTCCGTGGACATTTTTACAGGTTAATGGCGTTTAGTAGGCAGTCCTTCAATTAAAACGGTAATCAACAAGGGAACAGTTTGTATCAGACTTCATTGTGATTCATCAAAATGAATTTCTTTCTATAATTAACTTTTTATTACTACTTTAATAAGAACTTGACTGCAGACAGGAAATGACTTGGATGAATAGAATTTTGGTTCCAAATACACTCACCATCATACATTTGCACTGAAAATTCCAGTTTATACCATTTTTTTTTTGCACATTACCACAGACAGTGTTATACTGAAAATATTTCATATCACTTTCTTATAAAAAAAAATCTCTTGAAATGTTTCATTTTCACATTTAAACAACGTTACTGGGATGAACTGTTTAACCCTACTTACATCATAACTGCTATGTCGTTATAATGTAGCTTACCTTTATGTAAATCTTTTTGTACCACATTTCTGTACCTCAGGCTTTAGCCACAATATTATACCTTTGTCCTAATGATGGCCGCATAGCAGTCCGAAACCTGCAGACAGTAAATCACACCAAACGTCCTTGTGGTGTTGAGATTCCTTTATTTCTCTATTATGTTTTATAAGTAAGGAGCTCTATAGAACCCACTCACAGATCCACCCTAGGACGCTAGCGCTTGGTTCTACATTAGGAGTGTTGGATCACCTATCATTTATTATTTTCACATTTAATGAAACATCATTTTGGTCGCATAGCTACTGTTACGGACTTGTAGACATTTTTGAAACTTAACGTCCCAGAAAGAAAAAAAATCCTCACCTATACAAGTCTAGGCTGTGAATGCCCCTGAATCTTGTTAATTGTTTTATGGCCTGCTCTATCTGATATACATATAATGTCTGAAGTACAAACCAATGTGCCAGCTCTTTCTCCTATAAAATATTAGATGTTCGAGGGTAGATATGTAATGAACACACCAATGTAGGTTTTACCTTGTGTTTTACTGTCTAGAGGAGTTTGGTTTAATTTTGTTTAACGTCCTATGGTCCTATTAACAGCTAAGGTCATATAACGATGTGCCTCCATGTGTGTAGTGTATGCATGCTTGCGTGTGTATATACAGAAGACGGGGTAACTGTCTAGAGGCAGGTTGAACATGGACCTAAGAAAAGGCTTTTGACATTTCCTTCCTGTTGAGGATAGAATACAAGATTTTTATGTGTTTAATGAGGTCAGATTTTACAAAATGATACAATGGTAATCTGTAAAAAAACAACCCTGCTATGTTGAGTTTTAATTCAAAAGAAATTTCAGCTAATCCTATTGTCATTAAAGAGTTTGCAGGTGAAGTTGAGAAGTAGAGGGGAGTGGTGTAATCGATACAGACAATTACAAGTAGTGTATATCAAACCACGTGATCGGAATGTTTACGATTGAGTTGATATTTTTCAGTGAGGGAAGACCAAGTCTCATTGGATTCAAACCTGAAGGCATTAACGACAACCGTCCAATCACAATGCTTAGTCTGGACGAATCCAACGCCAACACAAGAAGTTTATCAAATCTGATGGCTGATGACGGGGGAGTCACAGGACGATCGTCGCGAATGACCAACGCTGCGGCCACACCTCAAATGTCAAATACACCGTTACAGCCTATCAACGCCAACCTTAGTGCCAGTCAGATGTCGCTGGATTCCCAGAAGTCTAGTAACTCTCTCATGCAACAGGAAGTGATAGCTGCGGAATAAAAACAGTTTTAACCGAACTATTTTTACACATATTTCAGTCCCGTTCCAATAGGTCAAAGTCAAAATTTCCATTTCCCATTAACCAGTATTACGTTGATTTATCTTAGTGTAGCCGTGAAGTGTGTTGGGAAATAGGTCGTAAATCAAAATTAGATAATATTCTGGTAAAATGGAGTCTCATTGTATGGGTGTTGTCATCCCGAGACATAAATCTATAATATCCAATGACATCATTTGTGGATTCAAAGATATTTACAGCCACAAAAAAAAGACGTTTTGGACAAATAATAAAAACCATGTTCTTTAATACTTTTCTTCAAGAAGTATGCCATACTTTTTATGTCCATATAACAATATATAATTATTTTCTTTTCTCATTACCTACATGTACTTATATATCATGATACATCATGTGTGCGAGCGACATGTATTATAATGCAAGAAAATCTACTTTTTTTCACAACAGCTGGACTTGTGTCTTGTAAAATCTACTGAAGTCTTTAATTAACCGAAAGATTAAAAAACAAAAATCAAGGATGTGCATTTTCAATATAAATGTTGTTGGAAGATTAAAGGGAAATAACTCCCACTGTACGAAAATCCTGATTATTCAAAACTTGATTTTTTTCTTCAAATTTTACAATCAATTTCATTCAGGTAGTCAATTAGTTTCTAAACCAATTAATTGGTAAATTATAAGGGGCTAATTAGCTATTAAATAGAAGTAATCTGGAGAAAACAGGGTTCAAATGTTTCAACATAGCATTTGTTGATAATTCTATGAAAAATATTCATTAGTACATGTACCTGTTAAATCATACACAAGATTTTGTTTATTTAATTCAAATACTAAATGAAATCTACTTTATTTTTATATAATCTAGAAAATCGAAAAGGGAAATCCATTCTTTCGGTTTCGTACAATAAGCATTTTGTGATATATTACTGTTCGTAGTAAAATGGCAGAAAAAATGGACTGATTAGTTTCTGTGGTAACGTTTAAAACATTAAACAAAGACAAGATTTGTTTTTTGTGGAAAGTTGTGATGTTTTTTAAGTCACTTGTTTTTTGTTCACTATGACAGAGTGCCAAACTGCCAGTCTGATCGGTTTAAATAGTCGTTTTTAAATGTTAAAAATATTTTTTTGTGCTTCGTTTTTATATCTCTTAATATTTAAGTTTTAGTGCTAAATTTCTCGAACATTATTTAAAACTGTTTTACCAAGTTTGACAAGGTAATACTAGGTGATGACAGAGCTCTAAAATCTGTTCTTGTGCCATAGCGGCAAAATGGATTTTTGATGGATTTTAAATATTTTCAAAAAAAAACAAAATTTAATAAATCCAAAACCTCTGTAACAAGGCATTCAATTAAATTTGTTGATTTATGATATTTGTGTCATAACATGTTCCTGACCTCTAATTTCTAGCAGCATAATTTTTTTTCTTGTTACATAAAGTCAATGACAACTTTTTTTTTTTTAAATAATCCCATTTTTCATAGAAGCTTATTTTTATATTTTTTTAAATACATATTCTTTATCAATGCTAGTGTTTATAAATATTAATAGGAAAGTTTTGGTAACTTTCTCTCCACATTTGGTTGAGGCTTTTATAATTCATGCTACTAGTCGACAAGTTATTTTTCCTTTAATTCATAATGATCATACATTTATCGTATTGCGTGGAAAAGCATTTTCATTGCAGTAAATGCTACCGACATAAAACTGTATTAATCAAAAAGCATTTTTTCTTTGCAAATATTGTAATAAATATTCCTATTAAAGATAGGAGTACCTATATATTTATGTATTTTTTCTCATTTTTGCACAATTGATTATATTTATATTTCATTTATTATAGCATCATCCTTTGGATGCCATTTCAAACTGAATATAAATATCATGTAAACTTTTCAATAAACTGTTGATGGATAATAATATAAAAAAAATATATCAACTGTTACCAGTAGATATGATTCAATAGTGCAAGACCATTAGTAAGAATGATTTTTTACTTGTATGTTTAAATATAGAAGATTTTACTGATTGGCTTGACTGTTAAAAACAAAACTGTGATAGATACGAATGTTTAATGTGCAAGTGCTGAACCGTTTTTTGCATGTTGAATATAAATTGTATCAAATTTTTAATTTCAATTCTTAATTTATTTTTAATTAGTTTGCATCTTAACTAGTTGAATTTCTTTTACTTTTGTTTACTTTTTTATTTGTAAAAATTTGTTTTAATACATGTATTCATTTATGAAGTGTGTGTCTAATTTGTTAAGGGTTTACCAGTGAAGTCTGTTAACAGATGACACATGTAGGCATAGCCAAACAATACAAAGTCAACAACACTGAGAATAAAATTGTCTGTCCCCATGTTACAATGTAATGCTAGTAATAATTTGAGGTTCTTATATACCGCTCTCAAAGCGGTTCACAAGTAATTATCCTTGGTTATAGGGCCTTAGTAACCAGCCAATATCTTTCTCAACTACCTGGGGAGCATACAGCCGGTGCTGCCATTTCTGCACTCACAGCTAGCATTCTACAATTCTAGCACTGCCCAACCACGTACTCATTTACAGCTGAGTAGACTGGAACAAGTGGAGTCAAGTATCTTGCTCAAAGATACAACACAGTGACGTGCCGTGACGTGACTCAAACTCGCAACCCTTCGGTCACAAGCCCAGCGTCCTACCACTAGACTACCGTGCCTCATTAATGTACACACTGTCTGTAGATAAAACAACTCGCAATATCAGAAAGAGGACTGCGATGTCAGTATTATTTATCATTGCAATATAAATTTTTAGCTTGGAAATGGAGTTGAAAATGATTACCTCGACAACAGTTTGATGATGGGCATTATATGTCGTAGCAATATTATGTAATCTTTAATATTGCAATATATATTTCCGATCGCAATAACCCAACATAAGAAGGATAATTTCAACTACCTGACTCTTAAGTTTCGTTAAGACAGGAAGAGGTTGATGATATCAAAGTTTTACTTTCTATACAAACAATGTACGTATTAAACGTGTCGCAACGTTTCAAGACCGACTGGTCCCTTTGTCAAGCTATGACTGAGTGCAGTAAAACTGTGATATTACATATTTCCAAACTGATGGATCTTATTGAAGGGAGGGGTTGATAATTGTGTTTAAAGGCACAACCTGATAGATACGATATGTACCTAGACCAACATTGTTATATGTTAGTGTCCACTATAGACAGGTTTTGAGTAATATTTCAAAATCTTTTGAAATGCAATGAACTATAAAATGTGCTGATGTTACTGAAGACCCAGGGCATCCTATATATTGATTCTTCAATGTCTTAATCACAACTTCAATCCAAATTTTTTTTTTCAAAATCAGTGTGAAAAAAAGTTTATCATGTTCATTTTCTGGCAACGATCACATTTAATTCAAGTATGTCAAGATTTTGAGTTAAAATTTTAATAATTAAGAAATTGACCTGTCAGTCGAGTAAAGATGATTGATAGAAATGGGTCTTGATGTACCATGTTAACTTGCCTGTATCTTGTTGACAATCATGTTCCATATCATTAAAACAAAAACCTCAAGTTTTCTCAACTTTTGTTGTTTTTATTGTTTACACTAGGAAGATCACATTTATTTTACACATTTCAGTTCATTTAAACTCTGTTTAACAAACAGCATGTAAGTTTATCTATTATGTACAAATAATACTCACACAGGCCTATTTCTCCCTTTCCTAAGAGAAATATATGTTCATTTAAATTTTACAATACAATATAAGCATTAATATCTAATATGAATCTGTTTCTATCCCTTTATTTAGCTTTGAAGTTTAAAATCTGTTATTCAAGGAATAGTTTTCTATTTTGGCCAGTTGGCATAGATAGCTCCAGTAGAGCATGTGTACATTGAATAGTCAAAGAAGAAATCTGTTCCTTATATTTACCGTACTTTTCTGTGAATGTTTCATAATTATTTTATTCACTAGTCAGATCAAGGGATACAAATATAATTTTCAAATCTTATGAACGTGTGATGAATTCAGTTGAGTTAATCCACCCACATCTACTGTTGATAGCCTCGCCTCACACAATTGTGTCTCGTTCGCCGAAAATTTGCATAGCTCCGCCTATTTGTTTTGTTGTCAATGGCATGGAAATTCCTCACGTTCTATGGTCAAGTTATGAGACGATAAATCCATTTTGTGGGAACCACGGTTATTAAGTGGATGTCAGTGTGAAGACTGTAAATATTCGGAATTAATGAAAAACGTACAAATTACAATGTACAATAAACGAGTCTCCTTGGTACAACAGAAGTATACACCAGTTTAAACAATACTAACAGTATAGCATTACAGGGCCATCATTTACCCGTATAAGGGCGAGCTGTCACTGCCAGCCATTTTCTGTGTCTATTATATGATGTGATTTGGGCCAAAGATATTGCCTGATCAAGTGATTTGAAGTCTATTTCTACACGATGTCGTTCGCTGTATTTACTCCGTCATTGCTAAGTAGAGAAATAGTCATTAACCCTTTCACCACTGTGGACCATGATGGACTCATCCAGATCAATGTATGGTAGAGTTTACTGAAGTTGTATAGGGGTGAAAGGGTTAATAGTGGTACCAAGATCACTACCAACTCTAGTTAAGCCATTTGGACTAAAATTCAATCTCACTCGATCATAAACGGAATTGCTCATACTGAACTGTAAATTATTTCAATGCTAAAGATTGGTTATAATGCTACATCTATTTGTCGTAGTTTCAGATTTTCTACTTTTTCACCTCGTACAGTCCTTGAGCACAACACACAGAAAATGGTTCCAATGTCTTTCCCGAGGACGCTTTCAATATCGTATCCCTGAAATTAACAAAAGTACAATAAATTGTCACACTATGCCCAAAAAAGAAAGAACCCTAATACATTGCATAATATCTCAAAAATTAGTTAAGGATGTCAGCCACCTTACAGTAATATGTATCTCTTTTCCCAAAAGAGTTCCACAGCAAGAAACACAAAAAAAATCATAAAACCTATTTGACAAATTGTGACTTGATCATTTTAAAGGCATAACACTTAAAGTTTGACATTTAACGAATATTTCTTTCTTTCTGGTTTTTAGCTCACCTGGCCCAAAGGGCCAAGTGAGCTTATCCCATGGTGCAGCGTCCGTCGTCCGGCGTCCGTCAACTTTTTCCTTTAAAATACTACTTGTCCTGAATGGCTCAGAGGATTTTGACCAAATTTGGTCAGGAGCATCATTGGCCAAAGGGTTCTCAGTTTTGTATAAACGGAGGGTATAACCCCCCTGGGGGCAGAGGGGCGGGGCCAAATAGGGGGAAAATAGGTAAATCTTTAAAAATCTTCTTCTTAACCAATAGAAGGATTTTGACCAAATTTGTCCTAGAGCATCTTTGGACAAAGGAGACTCAAGTTTGTATAAACGGAGGGTGTGGCCTCTTTGGGGGCAGAGGGGCGGGGCCAAATAGGGGAAGTAGAGGATTTTTTCTCTCCTACTATACAAGTGAAGGGATTTAAACCAAATGCAGTCTGAAGCTTGGTCAGGAGCATCATTGGCCAAAGGGTTCTCAGTTTTGTATGAACGGAGGGTATGGTCCCCCTGGGGGCAGAGGGACGGGGCCAAATAGGGGAAAATAGGTAAATCTTTAAAAATCTTCTCCTCAACCAATTGAAGGATTTTGACCAAATTTGTCCTAGAGCATCTTTGGACAAAGGAGACTCAAGTTTGTATAAACGGAGGGTGTGGGCCTTCTGGCGGCATAGGAGCGGGGCCCAATAGGGGAAATAGAGGATTTTTTTTCTCCTACTATACAAGTGAAGGGATTTAAACCAAATGCAGTCTGAAGCATGCTTAGGGAGAAAAGAATCAATTTTGTTTAAACTGAGGTGTGTGGATTCCCCTTCTTTGGGGCAGATTAGTGGGGCCCATTAGGGGAAATAGAGGAAAACATTAAAGATCCTTCTCCTTCTGTACCGTTGAAGGGATTTTAACCTAACCAAACTTGTTTTAGAGAATCTTTGGGCAAAGGGAATTGAATATTTATAAATGGAAGATGCAACTTTGTTACTTGTACTCCTTTGATAAACCTGAATGGTATTCAGCAGGTTTTAAATTGAAAAATAAAATACCAGGTGAGCTATTAAGGCCCCTGGGCCTCTTGTTTGTTGTTGTTGCCGAAAACACCACATTACACTGTTATTTCATCGCTGAGTACTTCAACCAATGAATCGTAACATTGCGGTATACAACATCCTCAACTTAGGTATTTGTTCTTTTTAAGTTATAAATTATACTGGTTACCTGGGAAGTTCTATCAATGGAGGAATAGCCAAAGTCAAACCACTGATTGATAAAACTAGACACATGGGTGATAAAACTAGAAAATACTGATTGATTAGATTAAGATCATTTTAAAAAGGAGATAAAATTTCAGCTAAATCACAGGACTTGTATAATACGAAAGGCAACACAATATCCTTAATTATAGAACTGTATGCCAAATTCTGTATGACTAATACCCCCTACTCAATACATTCAATATATTCAATACAAGCCATTTGGATTGATATGTCTCGCCTGTACCCCGCTTTTGACCATCAATGCACATATCAGAGAAACTAACTTAAACGCAAAAACTTAATGTTGATGGAGGTATGCTGACAAAGTCAATGGACCATGAAAGGAAGACCGCATCCAACATTTGATGCATGGGTTGAGATGTACTATCTAAGATGCATCTATTGTCCAAGTTTGGTTGGTCTAGCACTTACACTTTCAGAGAAACTAACTTAAACGCAAAAACTTAGTGTGACGGCGTTGCCGGAAAAGCTACACCTAAGTCTCGCTACCGCTTCTTCATGACAACCCCCCCCCCCCCCAAAAAAAAGAGGGAAGAAAAAATGGAATCGTGTGTACATCTTCCTAAGATACTTTACATGTGTCACAAGATTCACAAAATTTGGTTTGGAAGGTTAGCAGCAGTGCATCAGACAAACTTCTGTCCACAGCTGGAGAGCACCTGACTCCAGTTAACCCTCCAACCCCTAACATTTACTGGGTGTTTTATTATTATGGGTATAATGTAAAAGGGAGATAACTAGTACATCTGGCACTGAAACAGATGCTTGAAACAATATTTGTCGAACTAGTCAGCATACAAATGAAGTGAGACCTTGCAGACTCACTTTGTTTATTTATTGAATGAAACCCTCTTTCAGAAGACTTTCGAGACAATAAGCCCCATTATTGACACTTACCTCCTCTGCTGTTTCCTCCGGGAGTAAGCGCTCTATACAATCCTGAAGAAGCTGTAAGAAGCATCAAATCTCTCATTATGACACTCGACATGCGAAATAATGAAGGAAAATACAAGTTGTCACATTCAAAATTATTATCCATAGATAATGTTCTCACTAAAGAACATACAATGTATACTGGAAAACTTACACCCAGTCACATTTCCACCAAACACTGATGAAATCAATTTCTGCCAAATGTTAATTTTGCCCTTCACATTTGATTACGATAATTGTTTTATCACATAATGTAGTGTGTTATCCAGTGAATATACCCATGTCATTTTTTTTTGCGTATTAACCCATGTAATATGTCAGACCTATCAGCCCTGTGATTGGTTGTAAGTTTCAATTGTTTCAATTGTGACGTCACGCCTAGGACAAGTACATGACGTCACAGGCTTGCGTCCTGGAGTCAAAATGACGGCATTTTACATTTCAAGGTTGCATGAATATTGTCGTTTTACACAAATAAATGCCACAAACCTTGATTAAGTGATAAAGAGGATCTTACACTCGTTTTCATTTCATATGAAATTTATGAAACTCTTCATGAATTTTTCATTTTAGCTCGCCTTAAAATTCTTAGACTCGTTTCATAAATCTCATATGAAATGGAAATTCATGTAAGATTTTATATCTATATCACTTACTGCTGTTCTCTGTAATGATGAATTCGCGGAGGGAGAAATAGGCGAAAATTAAACTGGGTCGAAAAATTCCCAGTATTTTTTTTTTTAAAGAAGCAGCATACACAGTGGACTTAACACAGGTGAGATACAGTATGTCATCGTTTCTCACAGCAATGTTGTTGTGTTGTTGATAGTTTACCCTGACTGTTCCAGTCTACCTAGCTGTTTAGTTGGAAACTAGCATAATGGGAAGCAACCGAGTGAAAGGCTGGCATCCCATGTGAGTCATAGACTGTCTGTCACTTACCACCACTTTAACAAGGTTTAAAGCTCCATAAGTCCTGGAGTAATTTACTCAAACTTAGGAAGCTAAGATAGTGGTAAGTTGGTAAGATATGTTATCTACTGTCAGACTTTACACTGGGACTTCCTTCACAAAGTGCTTTCTTACTTTGCTTAATTTATATTTTTCTGATGATTACGCAGTCATATATGGATTGAACAGCGTTTTTTTAATTTTCATGCCGCTATGAACGCAAATCGGTTACATCCATATTGCATGAATGCCACTAGGAAAATATAAAAAACGCTGTTAAATCCATATATATTATATACATTTTTACTATAGCGCATTATGATGTTTGTTTGCAAAGCTGTGTCATTCAAATAGATCATAAATACCATACAAAAACAGTTCAATACTTATATTTACGTTTTTTCTGCCTCTTATGTTCTTTTTTAACTTACAATTTATATTTAAAATCTAAAATTCCCGCCTTATCGACAGTCCACACAATTTCGTTCAATAGTTGGAACAGCGTGTTGTCGCGTACAGATTGGCAAACAAAGTAGTACTTTGAAATTTTAACAAACACTATGATTTTATTCCACAGTTCAGTATCAATACAATTGCGTATGCTATTTCTATAGGGTGATTTAAGTTTATCAATAGAACTCTGAGCTGAAAGTTAGATTTGAAATTGTTTCGATTTTTCCCCGGAAAAAAATTTGGCGCATGGATAAATACTGTCACCCTAAATCCGACCTTGCCCTCCACGAAGGAGTTATTTTTCTGAAATGTTTATGTGTGCTGTGACTCATATCAGTAGGTCTATAGAATATGTGTATTTCAGACATTTGTAGCGAACCCCTGTTGATCAGTGCAGTGTTTCTGATAAATTGCATGAGCGTTAAAATTGCCAGCATTGGTGATTTCAACCGATGTGCATTTTGTACGATATTGCAGACCTTGGTCTTGTTTTTGTTGTAATAAAAGTATTTTTTATTTTCTTATTTCTTTTGCACTTAAATTTACCATGACATTGTCAAGTCTCACAATGCCCAGCGATATGTCAGCAGCCGTCAGGTTTATTTATATTAGATATTGTAGTTCTGGTCTGTGTTGTATTAATAAGCCAAGAATTGTGTCTCGTGCTACATGGTAATTAAAGTCCCATCAACGACACAGCATTCAAAGAGGCTATATAGTGACAATGCCATGCAAATGTAAATATAGTGGGTTGAAGCGCAAATGTGAAATACACTGTTGCGGCCTACTTCAGCCTCACGACATGGATGTCTTCTATGTGAGTGTTGAGACAAAGGATTGACAGATTTTAATACCTCACTGAAGGATTATCATAGTAACAGGTGAAGAAAAAACGAAAATCAAAACATTCTGTCATGAGAAGGTGCTAATGACAAAATAAATCTCTGGAAATTTCACATTAATTTTTAGTGATGATCTTACCCTGAGCATTGAAGTCAGTTGGGCCAGTATTGATAAAATAATGTATGTGTTTGCCTAAAGTCAACCTTGGATGATACTGAGCAGACTGGGATATTTTTTATAAATATCTCTTTTTTCTTACATCTGTTTTTTTTAAATCCTTTAAACGATGTTTCGATTTGTTGCATGATTTGATATCAAAAAGGTTTTATAACAGGGAATCTAGTAAATAACATAAAATTGTACTTCAAAATTTCTATTAAATATTTTCTGTAAACTTAATTCTTGGTTGGTCAGGTTCTAGCTCTTGATTAATCACTAGTTAAATTTGCCAAAACCTATGATACAATTATTTTGACTGATGAATGGCCTTGACATGAATATTGTGACCTTGATATGATCAATGTGACCTGGATATAACCCCTGTGACCCTGATATGACCCTGTGACCCTGATATGACTACTTACACTGACTGTGACAGGGATGTCCAGCCCATCACAAGTGACCTTCACATCCATGGTCATCTTAGTCAATGGCTCTAGGACGGACTTGTGACACTCCAGACAGGTCAGCTCACTGAATCACCAACAACACAGCTCAGTTAGTGTGAAAAAATCATTCATTTCCACATTTCCTACCTACCCTAAGTTATTATCGCCTAATATACTTTTAGGTCTTATTCTGAACAACCACTTTGCTTTCTTTGTTGTAATCTAATGTAAAAAAAATTAAAAAAAGACAAGTTTTGCCAGTAGCTTCCAGTTTGTATACTAATTTTATGAAAGTCAAAAAAGTGGTGACAAAAAGTTTTTATTGTTAAACCAGCATAACTGTAAAACCTTAGTTTTCTATAACCACGCAATATTTTTGAAAGTGTTTTAAATTAATTTCAATTTTGAAATTTCAACATTAACCAAATATTATATTCTCCTTGACTAAAGGTCCTGGAGTCAACATTACACAATTATTCTAATTTACAATTATCATTAACCCTTTCACCCCTATGTAACTTTAGTAAACTCTCCCATGCAATGATCTGGATGAGTCCATTATGGTCCACAGTGTTGAAAGGGTTAATCATACTTGTGAATAAACACAAACTTTTATATAGCTCTCATAAAATATATGTGCTTTATAACCATTAAAAAACCCAACTGAATTCAAAGTGAAATAAATGAGAAGAAAGCACACGGTGGAAGATCACCTTTGTCGGGTTATAAGCTTGTCACTTCCACAATAATTACAGACGTCCCAGGAGTAGGCTGAGCTCTCGTCAACACCCCTCACTCTAGCTACAAAACATAAAAACACAGGATAATAGCACTCAACCTAGATACAACAGAGAAGAAGCTCATGGAGATTTCATTTGCTATCTGAACTAGAAAATAATTAGTTGAAAATCTTCCAAACAATCTGAGACTAATAAATGGTGGCATTCCATCAAATCCGTTAACATATACCCCAGGGGCCTGCTCCTTCTTAATGTGGTAGGATCTAGGTAATGCCCTTTTGAGAACATACACAGGTTCAAATTCATTGCATATCTTAAGAGCAGTAGACTATAAATCAAGGGCCATAACTCTCTAAAAATGTGTTGAAACAACAAGTTCATGACACAGGCGAAAGTACATCCATGATGGATTAGATGTATGCTAAGCTCAGCCAATGTGTCTAGGGTGAGGGTACCCAAAATGGAACGATTCCCAAAATGGAACACTTTTGATAAATATGATGTAGCATTTTCATTTTGAAACATAAATGAAGTGTATGTTATTCTTAATCAGAATTTACATATTTTGAAGCATTTTGAACAAGTTTCATCTCCCTACCTCTTTAAAGTGTTCTGTTCCCTCACCCTACAAGTAGTTTTAGGACCGACAGACACACAGACAGACAACCTGATTCCAGTACACCCTCCCTTCCACCTTACAAGGGTACAATTAGATCGGATAGAGAACAAACTGGAATGAAGCAGTTAACAAACTTACCTATTGCCTTGCAAAGTGAAAGATCAGGGAGATCACTGCATATATTTGGGATAGTAATCTCCCCCTGAAGAGCTCTCCTCTCTGCCTCTATCGTCGTTATCTCACTGTTGGTAGACAGGCAGGCGTCTGGTACATCAGTGATTGGTAGTATTTGAGAGTAGCCATCACAGCAGAGTTGTTCTGGGGAATCAATACACAATCAAGTATCTATCAGGTTATAAATATACAATTTATGTTTGATATTCATTTAATATACTGTAACAGCAGAGGAGAAATACACAGCCAGACGGGGATTTGAACCCAGAACCCTCCCATCTCTAGATGGATGCTTTACCAATTAAGCTAGTACCCGGTTGCCGGCTATCGATTCCGACCAGTTCTAATACAAACTGATCAGTCATATGTGGGATTATTAATTGTCCACGAACAAAATACAAATTTTGTTTAACTCTAGCAGAACTCGACAGGGTCGACTGTCGGTGGCATAACATTGAGGCAAATCAGCAGTCTATTGTATAAAGGAAGGATATTCAACCCTAGCTCATATTCATTAGGTGTTAGATCATAAGATCATAAAGCGGGTCATCACAAGATTTTAACATACTTTTGATTCAAATTTGTTCAAGGGGAATTACTCTATCACAAATGATGAGTTAAATAACTTCAGCATATAACCTGTTCCAAGTCAGATATGGGATGTGTGAAACACCTGAGATACAAACCTTTGTGGTAAAAGACGTCTTTGAAGAACATGACCTTTCCACAGACAGTGTTTACGATATCAAAGACTACTCTGACAGTACTGTAGCTGGGCGGGGGTTCAGAGGAGGGCACACCGGACCACACATATACATAGCAGTGGGAAGGTCCTAAGTGCGGAGCTGTCCCAGAGCCACCTCTCGCATCAGCAACTCGTGTTTCTGATGGCTGTGAAACAGAAAGAGATTACACAAGGAAACTTGTAATGGTATTCTGTATAGACACAGTGTAAAAATAATCATCTCTTTTTGTTAACAGCCCCTGCTCTATTAGATGCCCTAATTACCTGAACAATTCACCTGTTGGTAACCTAAAATTTTGCCCAACTCTGACATTTTACCTACCCTAACAATGACCCTATCTATAAATATTACCCTTTCCCTAACATTCTACCTACCCTGACAATGACCCTATCTATAAATATCACCTTACCCCTAACATTCTACCTACCCTAAAAATACCCCTACCATATTTCTCCAATCACTCTTAAATGCCTATAATTACCCTGCCCAAATGATCGTCAGAGGACAAAATACTAAGGTAAGTATGAATGTACACTATTTGTGCCTAACTATTGTGCCTACTTACCAGTATGGCTAAAACTTTTGCAACAAAACAGAACCGTTTCAATTCCGCTGGTTTCTGAAAATAAAGTACACTGCCAAATGACAATTTAAAAAAAACGTTTATTTCACAGTTATTGTTAAATTTCCAAAATAAAATAATGTCCATTTGAGCCTATATTTTTAACCATTTTCATGTTCAAGCTCAAATCCTAGTTCCAGTGGAGAAACACTTTATAAAGAATTCAAATTACTTTCAGTTCTTTCTGTACATTGCTGAGTGTTTAAGCTGTCAGTGTTCCTATATTTAGTGTTAAAGTTGTCAGTGTTCCTATATTTAGTGTTAAAGTTGTCACAAAATCTGTGGGTAACAAGAATGTAGAAATGAGAAAAGTAATTGTTTTATGAACACATGACTCAAACTTGCTTTTAAACATTTCCTTTTTACTGTATTTACCCTACAGGCCTTTGACAGATCAGTAAGCGACAGAGGACGATACCGTGACAGTAGGGCAGGGGTATCTATTGGAGTTACGTCAACATTCGTGGAGTTATCTCCCTTCATTATATAACAAAATCCAGGTGGCTCCACGGTGCAGGCAGCAGTGCTCGGTGCTGGGAGTGCTTGCTCGCTCTCCTCACTAACTCCACTTGTTCCTGGTAGCACCTGGTCACTTTCTTGACTAAGTGTACTTGATGCAACACCAGACCAAACAGAATCAATCAAAGTAAACAAACTAAAGTCTCTGAAATGATAACAATAGGGGATGTCTTTCAGTCCAAAATAACAACAGGTTCAAAGGACATGTATCATCATTCAATAACAATATATCAAGAATAATGTCTTTAATTTTTACACACCCACTAAATCAATACTTAGTATGGAACATATCCTTAGATGTATAAAATAGTCATGCAAATTGATTTTACAAAGACTGTATGATTTACCATTCCCTGTCCAACTGTGTAACCTGAGGTCAGTAAAGGAGAACACTGTACCCTCCCCCTGTAACACTGTATGACCTACCATTCCCTGTCCTACTATATACCCTGAGGTCAGTAAATTTAGGAGAACACTGTACCCTCCCCCTGTAACACTATATGACCTACCAATCCCTGTCCTACTGTGTACCATGAGGTCAGTAAAGGTGAACACTGTACCCACCCCCTGTAACACTGTATGACCTACCACTCCCTGTCCTACTATGTACCCTGAGGTCAGTAAAGGAGAACACTGTCCCCGCCCCCTGTAACACTATATGACCTACCATTCCCTGTCCTACTGTGTACCCTGAGGTCAGTAAAGGTGAACACTGTACCCTGCCCCTGTAACACTGTATGACCTACCACTCCCTGTCCTACTATATACCCTGAGGTCAGTAAAGGTGAACACTGTACCCCGCCCCTGTAACACTGTATGACCTACCACTCCCTGTCCTACTATGTACCCTGAGGTCAGTAAAGGAGAACACTGTACCCTCCCCCGGTAACACTGTATGACCTACCGTACCCTGTCCTACTGTATACCCTGAGGTCAGTAAAGGTGAACACTGTACCCTCCCCCTGTAACACTGTATGACCTACCATTCCCTGTCCTATTGTGTAACCTGAGGTCAGTAAAGGAGAACACTGTACCCTGCCCCTGTAACACTGTATGACCTACCACTCCCTGTCCGACTGGGTACCCTGAGTTCAGTAAAGGAGAACACTGTACCCTCCCCCTGTAACACTATATGACCTACCAATCCCTGTCCTACTGTGTACCATGAGGTCAGTAAAGGTGAACACTGTACCCTGCCCCTGTAACACTGTATGACCTACCACTCCCTGTCCGACTGGGTACCCTGAGTTCAGTAAAGGAGAACACTGTACCCTCCCCCTGTAACACTGTATGGCCTACCATTCCCTGTCCTACTGTGTACGCTGAAGTCAGTAAAGGAGAACACTGTACCCTCCCCCTGTAGCACTGTATGACCTACCGTACCCTGTCCTACTGTATACCCTGAGGTCAGTAAAGGTGAACACTGTACCCTCCCCCTGTAACACTGTATGACCTACCGTACCCTGTCCTACTGTATACCCTGAGGTCAGTAAAGGAGAACACTGTACCGTCCCCCTGTAACACTGTATGACCTACCGTACCCTGTCCTACTGTGGACCCTGAGGTCAGTAAAGGAGAACACTGTACCCTCCCCTGTAAGACTGTATGACCTACCGTTCCTGGTTTGTTCTACTGTATACTGTAAGGCCATGGAAGGAGAATGCAGTGCCCTCTCCCTGTAAGACTTTTTCCCACATTGGAAGTCTGTCCTTTGGCAGTATAACCTCACACATTGTTCCCTGTATGTCCTCCACCAGCAGGCACCATCTACAAATTAATGAAAATGTGTACCCCGAGGTCAGTAAAGGAGAACACTGTACCCTCCCCTGTAAGACTGTATGACCTACCGTTCCTATGACCTACCACTCCCTGTCCTACTGTGTACCCCGAGGTCAGTAAAGGAGAACACTGTCCCCTCCCCCCGTAACCCTGTATGACCTACCATTCCCTGTCCTACTTTGTACCCCGAGGTCAGTAAAGGAGAACACTGTACCCTCCCCCTGTATCACTGTATGACCTACCATTCCCTATCATACTGTGTCCCCTGAGGTAAGTAAAGGAGAACACTGTACCCTCCCCCTGTAACACTGTATGGCCTACCATTCCCTGTCCTACTGTGTACGCTGAAGTCAGTAAAGGAGAACACTGTACCCTCCCCCTGAAACACTGTATGACCTACCGTACCCTGTCCTACTGTGGACCCTGAGGTCAGTAAAGGAGAACACTGTACCCTCCCCTGTAAGACTGTATGACCTACCGTTCCTATGACCTACCACTCCCTGTCCTACTGTGTACCCTGAGGTCAGTAAAGGAGAACACTGTACCCTCCCCTGTAAGACTGTATGACCTACCGTTCCCGGTTTGTTCTACTGTATACTGTAAGGCCATGGAAGGAGAATGCAGTGCCCTCTCCCTGTAAGACTTTTTCCCACATTGGAAGTCTGTCCTTTGGCAGTATAACCTCACACATTGTTCCCTGTATGTCCTCCACCAGCAGGCACCATCTACAAATTAATGAAAATTGACCAGCTATAATGGTACGACAATGTATTATTTTCAGGGCTAGAAATTATTTTTGAATACCACTAGTCAATTGGGGTAGTAGTTTCCAATTTTTACAACTCCATACTTGTACGTAAATTCCTCTTTAATTACACTGCACAGAAACGACTTCTTGTGTCCATATTGAGTTTAAGGGTCAAAACTGAGCTTGAAAGAGTAATAAATACAATAAGTAGGTAGTTTCATGAACATCGATGAAAGCATTTACTAAAGAGTTATAAACAAGAGGTCCAGAAGGGCCTGTATTGCTCACCTGTTTGTTTTCTTACATGCAGTTGTTGGCCAAATATTGTGAAGTTAGGTTGATTGGATATTCAGAAGAGGCTGAAGGTTTAGTTATTTGATCCCTGTGACCCTATACGTAGGGCAAGGGCATATTCCTGTGCAAATGTTGTTGAACTCAAACACAGGATGCTGGTGGGGGAAAGGAGCAGGACTTGGAACATTTTGGATACTCAGAAGTGTGTTGAAGGGTTTTGTTTGTTATTTTTTATTTATTGTTTTAGTAACCACTAAGGTCATATAAGGATGGTGTCGCATGACGGACATACAACTTTGAAAGTATAGGTCAATGTCATTTTCATTGGCAAACTTATCAGGTTCCATCATAGGATGCTACTGGACAAATATCATGACTCTAGGCCTTCCAGATCTTCAAAAGAAGTTGTTTGAATGTTTTGACCTATTTGACCCCTGTGACCTTGAAAGTAAGTCAAGGTCATTTTTATTCCCAATCTTTGTTGGGCTCCATCCCAGGATGTTACTGGCAAAACATCATGACTGTAGGACCTTCAGAAGAAGTCGTTTAAACAAAATTTGACAGATGAACAGATGACGGATGCTGCGCTATGGCATAAGCTCACATGCCCTTCGGGCAGGTGAGCGAAAAATCTCAGTGCAGATGATCACATTGAAACTGTATGTCACATTTTGTGTAGTAAGTGACACAAAAATAAGTTGTCTTAAATTCGGGCTAGACAATAAGGGTAGCCCAATAGACTGAAAATAGTGAAATATCTAGCTGACTATATTAAAGTGGTTCTAAAAACCGCTCGCCCAATTGACTAGTCAAAAATATATATTGCTCATCTTGTTAAATAATATTGGGTTAGTGTAATTTGCACATGGACTAGTAAATATTGGAAATGACTACCCAAATTGACTAGACTAAGTGGAATTCAAAATTAATTTCTAACCCTGGTTAGTACATTGATTGCCTTAAGCAGGAAGGTTTTACTGTACAAAGACATCTATATGTACCATACCTGGAAGTTTGTCGTGTCCGTTTCTGTAGGACCCTGTGTACCAGCGCTGAGAAGCTGTGACCTTGACCTTCCCGTGTGGAGCCCTGTCTATGAATACTGTCTAGTATCGTGTGTGAGACAGCAGATTTTGTCGCAGACCGTGCCGGCTGGGTTGCCTGTATCACTGTCAATCTTGACCTCTCGCTGTCCTCTTGTTCATCACAACACAATGGATCCTACAAAACATACACTCACGTCATTACTTTTAAATATTTGTGTTTTACCTGTTACTTCCCGTTTTACGAAACCACATACAGTGCACAGGAGAAAGCTTGCTGTAGTTTGACTTTTGACTTTAGTTCTGTCAGTTATGAGGATTGTTTCATCATTATGTTGAATATTCATACACAACATACCCTACAGGGTGATTTCGTTGTGAAGGGTGAACACCAGTCTACAGTTGTGGGATCGCACAACGTTACACAATGTGCAATGTGCGCACAATAAAAACCTGGACGATTAGTGCTTGTGCACATCTGTGTGCACGATGGATGAATGTTGTGCGATAACAATTGTGATTGGTGTAATTTGAGAAGTGGCTTAACAATAGCTATGGTTTCGGGTTTAAACACGCTGTACTATGCACGATGTGCGCATGCTACTTTGGTCCTTGTGTGGTCACACAACTGTTATATGAATTTTACCAGTGTAGGGATAAATTAATTTACTGGGTGAATTTTGTATACAATCTCAATACATGTAACTTTGTAATCAAAAATTCATTATTATGATAAATATTTTAAATAAAAATACCTGCTTGAAAATCATGTCTTTCTATCTTTAGGGCTATTCCATAAAAAAGTGTATAGAAGGGGTAGGAGGGGTAGGAGGGTTTTTTCAGAGACCCCATCACCCACCAAATTTAAAAAATATATAATTGTACTGGTGCTTCCCACCTCCCCCATACAACTAATTATGGAATAGCCCTAACCTGGAGATAAAAATGATCAACTATTGTACGCAATCAAGTATTACCCTGGAAACAGCCACCGCTGGAATGCTGGGCAGGAGATAGGCAGGACAGGATTGGTGGGTCCTCACTAGATCTGAGGAGAAACAAGTACTTCATTAGACCCAAGAGAAAACAATTATTTCACTGGACTGAGAAAAAAATCAGTTATATCATATAGATCATTCAGAACAAAATTCAAGCACTTTCTTAAAAAATTCCATGTCAAAGTTTTCAGGAAGGTAATACAGAAATTTTCTGGTTTTGTAATGTTACATATAACACAAAAATAAAATGAATCAAAACGGATTTAAAATAACTGTTGTTTTTTTTTTTTGATAAATTCATGTCAACACAAAAATTAGATATTGTTCTTCTTTAACAGCTTTTGAACAGTCCTTAAGAAACAAGGACATACTTGTCTCTAGTACGTTTTATAGTACTTTTAAAGGAATGTTGAGTTAATTCCAGCACTTTTCCAGAATACACGACTTATTTTCAAGTACTGATCGCCTCCATTGAGCACTTGTTTCACAGGAATGCTATGCACTCACCCTATCTGAGGAGAAACATCAATGACCTGAAGAGGAAGGATTATATTGCTGAGAGGTGAACCATACCTGCTACACAGGGGCAGTTCCAGCGACCAGTGACCTTGACCCTTTGCTGAGGCTGTCTGGTGACCTTGCGAGACCCCGGGCTACGAAGGTCAGCACTGTTCACCACCTGACAGTAGTTTGTACATAACAAAACTTTCTGGTTAGTCTGCTTCAGGTCAAGCTGCTGCCTGACAAAACAAAAACAAGAGGCCAGTGAGACCTGTGTCACTCAGATATTACCTAATGATGTTGGCAAAATATATTTCATGATGTAAAGATTAATCAAGAATGCTTCATACATATTTGAGTTATCAAGCTTTAAGCCATATGTAGATACCTAGCCACTGGAAAAATGACCCATATTGAGGCCTTTCAGTAAGAATATACAGCAGGGAATCCCACTGACAAATACAATTTTTTCAAGATCTTTAATTCATTCTAGACTAGTAGTCTTTTCAATGAAAAGTTGATGACAGACATAAGAATAACGTACAGTTGGACGGCCAACCGGTTATATATTCAAAATCTTATTTTAACTTAATATAAATGAAGTAAAATATTATCCAAATGTTCTTTAAACTTGAGAACAGTGAAGTATATTTCTTGATGTTTTTATTTTTCTGGAATTGTATCAATATCATATTTTAAATTTGAACACATGGTCATTATTTATCCTGATCCTACTTTGTTCTTACCTCAAACACAGATGTCTGTTACCTATATATAGATACCTACCACAGAGGATGGATGAAGGCAATGCTGCCCTCCTGTATACTGTGTTGGTCTGTTACCTATTTATAGATACCTACCACGGAGGATGGATGTGTACGATGCTGCCCTCCTGTATACTGTGTTGGTCTGTTACCTATATATAGATACCTACCACGGAGGATGGATGTGTACGATGCTGCCCTCCTGTATACTGTGTTGGTCTGTTACCTATATATAGATACCTACCACGGAGGATGGATGTGTACGATGCTGCCCTCCTGTATACTGTGTTGGTCTGTTACCTATATATAGATACCTACCACGGAGGATGGATGTGTACGATGCTGCCCTCCTGTATACTGTGTTGGTCTGTTACCTATATATAGATACCTACCACGGAGGATGGATGTGTACGATGCTGCCCTCCTGTATACTGTGTTGGTCTGTTACCTATATATAGATACCTACCACGGAGGATGGATGTGTACGATGCTGCCCTCCTGTATACTGTGTTGGTCTGTTACCTATATATAGATACCTACCACGGAGGATGGATGTGTACGATGCTGCCCTCCTGTATACTGTGTTGGTCTGTTACCTATATATAGATACCTACCACGGAGGATGGATGTGTACGATGCTGCCCTCCTGTATACTGTGTTGGTCTGTTACCTATATATAGATACCTACCACGGAGGATGGATGTGTACGATGCTGCCCTCCTGTATACTGTGTTGGTCTGTTACCTATATATAGATACCTACCACGGAGGATGGATGTGTACGATGCTGCCCTCCTGTATACTGTGTTGGTCTGTTACCTATATATAGATACCTACCACGGAGGATGGATGTGTACGATGCTGCCCTCCTGTATACTGTGTTGGTCTGTTACCTATATATAGATACCTACCACGGAGGATGGATGTGTACGATGCTGCCCTCCTGTATACTGTGTTGGTCTGTTACCTATATATAGATACCTACCACGGAGGATGGATGTGTACGATGCTGCCCTCCTGTATACTGTGTTGGTCTGTTACCTATATATAGATACCTACCACGGAGGATGGATGTGTACGATGCTGCCCTCCTGTATACTGTGTTGGTCTGTTACCTATATATAGATACCTACCACGGAGGATGGATGTGTACGATGCTGCCCTCCTGTATACTGTGTTGGTCTGTTACCTATATATAGATACCTACCACGGAGGATGGATGTGTACGATGCTGCCCTCCTGTATACTGTGTTGGTCTGTTACCTATATATAGATACCTACCACGGAGGATGGATGTGTACGATGCTGCCCTCCTGTATACTGTGTTGGTCTGTTACCTATATATAGATACCTACCACGGAGGATGGATGTGTACGATGCTGCCCTCCTGTATACTGTGTTGGTCTGTTACCTATATATAGATACCTACCACGGAGGATGGATGTGTACGATGCTGCCCTCCTGTATACTGTGTTGGTCTGTTACCTATATATAGATACCTACCACGGAGGATGGATGTGTACGATGCTGCCCTCCTGTATACTGTGTTGGTCTGTTACCTATATATAGATACCTACCACGGAGGATGGATGTGTACGATGCTGCCCTCCTGTATACTGTGTGTGTTACCTATATATATAGATACCTACCACGGAGGATGGATGTGTACGATGCTGCCTTCCTGTATACTGTGTTGATCTGTTACCTATATATAGATACCTACCACGGAGGATGGATGTGTACGACGCTGCCCTCCTGTATACTCTGTTGATCTGTTACCTATATATAGCTACCTACCACAGAGGATGGATGTGTACGATGCTGCCCTCCTGTATACTGTGTTGGTCTGTTACCTATATATATATACCTACCATGGAGGATGGATGCGGACGATGCTGCCCTCCTGTATATTGTGTTGTTGTACCACTGCAGCAGAAAACAGCACAAGAATCTGGCGCGGCTCGACCAGCCCTGTCAAAACCTCACAGCGAGCCAACTGGAGTGAGTAGAGGAGCTCAAAGCTAACCACTTCAATAGTGATGATCTTTGATGTGGACACAGCTGGAGGTAAAACAGAACCCAGGTGTTAGAAGCAGACTAAATGTTTTGTGCATGAACAAAGCATATGATGCCATATTGAAGACAAAGACACAAAATACCAGAATTCCACGGGAGCTCAGTGCTTTTAGTGAGAAAATTAAGTGTTTTGGCTTGAGTTAATTATCACGTACACAGATATGCCAAAATGTGCAAAGTTGAAACTTGACAGAAAAACCTGTAATATATGTTGAACATTATTGCTTCTAGCATTAGGGTACAAAATTTGAAAGGAATTGATCAGAAAATTAAAAAAATCTTGCATTTACTACACAATGCCCTTATTTGGCAATAAAAGGGGCATAACTCCACAAAAAATGCACGTAAACTTCTGAAATGCAAATTATTCCGAGCTATATTGGTATGCAATATGTGTACCTAGTTTAATTTTGGTATGCAATATGTGTACCAAGTTTGAATTCAATCAATCCAAGGGAACTCAAGTTATCGCACAAAACCTTGTTTCAGACGATACAACCGACGCTGAAAAAAGTAATACCTATATGTCGTCTTGCGTTGCAGGCGACACAAAAACTGCAACACATTGCCAATTATATCCCCCATTGCTAAACTATGGACTGGAACTCATAGAGACATGCATTAAGTTATGATCATAACCTGCTTACGTGACTCTGCCTTCCTAAGAGGTACAAACATAACAACTTATGATGATGATCAAAGGTGGAATAATGTTGGAGATATGCTCCAGACAAGCGGTATCTTACATATTTTGCTCTTTTAATAACAGTCAAACAACAAATTGTAGGTCACAGTGACCTATTTTTGAATAAGACACTCTGCCTTGCCAAAACGTACCTGTATATCAAGTTTGATGATCCCAGGAGATAATGTGGTAGATATGCTCTGGACAACACCTCAGACGGACAGTGAACATTTACTTACGATCTCTCCTGTCTGTGTGACGGTGGGGTATTTATGTTAACCTGTGTCAGCCTTAGTATCTGTATACCAAGTTTGATGATCCCAGGAGATAATGTGGTAGATATGCTCTGGACAACGCCTCAGACAGAGAACATTTACTTACCATCTCTCCTGTCTGTGTGACGGTGGGGGTATTTATGTCAACCTGTGTCAGCCTTAGGATCTGTTGCTTACCTTGAGATTCCAACTCAGTTGAGTTCTGCTGATGGGACCATATTCTCAAAGATGACCGCTCTCTCATTTGAACTTTGTTAAGTTGGTCAGCAAAACCTCCCCTATCAAAAACACATATCATAAAGCATTTTTAACTCAAATGCAAAACCTCAAAAACTAAATGTAACCTAAAAAGTATTTTCTTTGCAAATTTTGGTTAGTTGACAGTTCTGTTGTTGAGATCTACCTGAAGTTTATCAACAGTGGAGCCTCAAAAGTCTAGCCCCCAATAATCTAGTTATCTCATTATCAAGCCACCACTAATCCATCCTCGATATCCAGGGGTTACGCTCACTTTCGCACTCTTTACCCCTGGAACTTATCATAGCAAAATTGAAGGCACGAAGAAAGCTGTTTGATTGGTCTCAGGTAAAAAAATCTGACCAGTCACTAGGCTGATACCTGTCCTTTGAAGATTACAAAGGAGAGACGCCCATTTTCAAAGCCTGTCAATTTTTACCATTATAAGACCGCGAGATTCTTTTGATGTACATCAAAGGATCAAACTAGCCTTCTCGTCTCATCAACAAGGTGGCGCACACTGAGCCTTCAATTTCGCTATCACATATCCAGGGGTGTAGAGAGCGAAAGTGAGCGTAACCTCTGGATATCGAGGATGCCACTAATCTGTTTTTCCCACTATCCAGCCACCACTCATCTGGTTGTCCCACTTTCCAGCCACCACTAATCTGGTTGTCCCACTATCCAGCCACCACTAATCTGGTTGACCCACTATCCAGACACCACTAATTTGGTTGTCCCACTATCCAGCCACCACTAATCCAGCCACCACTAATCAGGTTGTCCCACTATCCAGCCACCACTAATCTGGTTGTCCTACTATCCAGCCACCACTAATCCAGCCACCACTAATCCAGCCACCACTAATCTGGTTGTCCCACTATCCAGCCTCATTAATTCAGTCACCGCTTATCTGGTTGTCCCACTATCCAGCCACCACTAATCTGGTTGTCCCACTATCCAGCCTCATTCATCCAGAAACCACTAATCTGGTTGTCCCACTATCCAGCCACCACTAATCCAGTCACCACTAATTTGGTTTTCCCCCTATCGAGCCTCGTTAATCCAGTCACCACTAATCTATACTGGTTGTCCCACTATCCAGCCACCCCTAATCTGGTCGTCTCACTATACAGCCACCCCCAATCTGGTCGTCTCACTATCCAGCCACCCCTGATCTGGTCGTCTCACTATCCAGCCACCACTAATCTGGTTGTCCCACTATCAAGCCTCATTAATCCAGCCACCACTAATATGGTTCTCCCACTAATTTAGAATGAATTTATTTCAAAAAAATAAAAATTTCTCTATGTAATTTTGTAGATGCAGTTTTTTTTTTAAATGCATGTTTAATCAGAAACGTTTTTTTCCATGAGAAATCTCCAGAAAGGTGGTGTTTTGTAGGATAACAAGTAACTTAACAAAATAACCATGTACCTTTTGAATTTCTTTTTCTTTTTTGCTGAATCCTCTAAAATGTCTGTATCCCCTGATTGTGAATCCTTAGATGGTGTTTTCAAATTCAAGGTCTTAACCCAGTCACTGGCCTTGACCTTTGAACTTGAGGAAGCCTGACTAGGTGCTGGAGACTGGCTCTCCATGCTTTCGATATCCTGTGAGATCTCCAAACTCTGAAATGTTCACGGCTAACTCATGAAACAAATGATTACATAAACAAATGCCCTATTAAACCTGTACAGTAAGACATGTACGGCATGTTTGTAGTCATTGTATTTCTAAATAAGAGATCTCAGAGGGATCTTGACATTCACTTACATAAGATCTTTATTAGCTCTACGTAAGTTTGATCTTTTCCCTTCATCTGTCCTCTTATTTTGATCTGTTATTCATTGGATTTACAGTCATGTTGACAGTTTTGATATATGTCCTTTTGTGAATGTCATTGTTTACTTTTTTTGATATCAGTTTACAAAGATATACACGTGTTCAAAACACATGATAAATAAATCAACCAGTTAATCATATAAGTCTTATTTATCTGTAATCTAGTTGAATACAATACCTGTAATCTGGATGAACACAGTATAATTTACCTGTAAATTTTCATCAGTTTCCTTCTGAGAAAAAGAAAGCCTCGATCCTTCTGATTCATAGCTGCAGATATTGGCTGTTACATCCGACACCTTCAAAACAACGTCATAATTAAAGAAAAGTTGATCGTATTTAAATACATCTCTGTATCTCATGTTTATATATCTTTGAAATTTAAGTGTTTCATTACCTCAATACACATATCTTCTATGTACCCTAGGGATATGTCATGACCAAGTCAAAAGGCACATGATCACAGAGTTCTGTGATAAAGAGTTGTTAAATAGTTTAACCTCTGACCTGAGAATGTTTCCCTCCTTGATTTTCTGAATCAGCTTTCTCCCTCGTGGCTTTGTTTTTCATACCGGACTGACACCACCAAGCTTCAGAGGAAGACTCATCATCTGTAACGATGACTGCCGGATCCTCGCAGTCTTTTTGTACACCAGCCTTGTACCTAGGACCTGACCTTCGGACTACGGGGGAAAATTCCAGACGACTTTTCTGTTTTTCAGACTCATCATCGTCATCATCACTAGAACTCCAGGCTATTGATTCAGCAACTGTTTTCAAAAAATATTATAACAAAAAAAATTGAACTTATATTCTTGGTTTACAATTAAAGATTAGTCTTACTGACATCAATCAAGAAGAATAAATTTGTCTGACACAGTGAGTTCAAGGCCATAAACCTGTGGGTTGCTACCACAATAGGAAACAATTTAACTGGATAATAAAAACAAAGAAGGACTCAATCAATTCTTCAGATAAATTAAACCTGGCTTTACCGCCGTCCAGAGAAACGTAATCAACCAGGCGATAAACACAAAGCTTCTGAATGTATAGGCATCATCATGATCAGTTCAGTACTTATCCACGAGACACGATTATACATCTGTATTATTGTATTTTTGGCAGCAATGAGCTCGGTGTGTTACCTTCAGTGGGGAGTTCTCCAGATATATTTGCCACTCTCTGTCCGATTAAATGCCCCTTCTGACGTTTTGTTGGATTGTTGTGATCAGTTCCAGCAAATCCTGAAAACCCTTCACCAAAGCTTTGCCATTTACCAACAGGTTTTCTTTTCTCCTGAATTTTCCTTTGGGAATAAGACCTGTCCTCTTTCTCTGGACTGTATATCAACTAAATACAAATTTATTAACAAGTCTTAGGAGTACGTGAAACAATACACGAAATACACATTTCTTTATATATCCACAAAAACATTCTTAAATCGTCACTTTGAAACATAAACATAATAGTAACACAAACATAGATTGACTGTTTGGAGACATTGGCTATATTTTGCCAGATGGACATCTTCCTTAATGTGACAAAATTGGACAAAGTTTAGCCATGTTTTCGTTATACATATGTACATGTAATCTGTTTAAGCCACACAGAAAGTAGGTCTACTAATTTTCATAAAATGTTAATAACTAGTTATAATTAAACTGTCTTAATATATTTACTTATATAAAATATATATTTTATGACATACAAATTGTTCTAAACTGAAGTAGCATGCTCCCTGCATGTGTTGTATTTAACATATCAGAATTAGCCATAGTGTTTGTGGCTATTGAGGATAACAGGAAGTGGGGCTAATTGGGAATGCTAAATGTGTAACACCAATGGGATGACGTAATTTTCAGTTTAGTGCCTTTTTTCATTATTCAGATCACAAGTACTCAATATCAGGGTATGTAGTTGTTGATAGGAAACAACCAGCTTAACTAAGATTTTTCTAACAACTATTTTTTATCTGATATTTTATTATACGTGTAAAAGATGTGCATTGATTAGGTTGCCAAACAAGCATCAACTGTATGGAATTCCCCTTTATCTCAGCGGTAGAGTATTGGGCTGGAAAGCCAAGGGTCATGGGTTCGAGCCCCTGAGAGTGATGGCACTATGTTTATCACTATTCCTCATCCTACTACATGTACGTATACTGGCTAATGGAGACTTAGGAGCTGGACCCGCAGAGAAAGAGAAACAGGACCCTGAACGATACTCAATCAAATGTCAATAGATATATATCATTACTGTACCAATGTGTAATTCAACTAAAAGCCAATCTACATATTCCACTATTCTCTCAAAAAGCTGACTCAGAGACATATAGATCTATGTAATATGTGTCTCTGGTCACAGGGACATGGGTCGCTTTACTTGTAATACTATAAAATAGTGTTTTCTACTAAAAAATACACTATTTTTTAATATTACAAGTACAGCGATCCATGCTCCTGTGTCTCTGGCTGACCATAACAAAGTGTTGTGACATTGAGCAAACAAAAAATAAGTCCACGGTCGTACTTTTCGTTTTCCATAATACTGTGACATCTTTTGGAAAGTCTACTGTATGGTGTTTTCAGAAGAATGATCTGCACTGTAGTTTGGTCGGAAGTATCATTTTCTAAATTCCCGGGGTTTTACACAGAATATTTTTTACCTTTTAACACGAAAGATTTCCAAAATACACACAAATATTTTAATTTATTTTATCTGCAATGTTTTTAAAACACAGAAGGCATCTTCTTTAATCGTTTGAAAATATACTAAGAATTACTCAATGTTGTCCACTTGTCTTGCTGAATAAAAAGTCTCGAAGCTGCGATATCGTATGGCAGCCGCCATATTTGGATGGACGGACATCAATTTGCGTGCGGGGCAACCTAAGAAAACTTGAATTACGCATAATTTGGGTACCCTATGCAATAGTGGATCGGATGCCAGCTATTGTTCTATATAAAGTCTTAATTTAAAGCTATTTTAAAACAATGGATCCTGCCGACAGCACCACATCCTCTCTGGGGACGACCGGAGATACAGGCCACCTCTTGCAGGAGCTCATCAACTTACAGAAATCACACGGTTTGTGTTTGCCCATTTGACAAATATATTGGAATACGGTGTGCTATGTTACGGTTAATGGTACCAATTCAATTTGTTTCTGTATATGTTGCTAGAAAAATTGTATCTATGCACTGCTATATTGCATTATCTGGAATTCCACACTTTCACTTTCATTAATTTCAAAGGCGGTCTTTCCCGCGGGCATGCTTATCGTTGGTTATAATAGATAGATAGTATGGAGAACTCATGTGACCGGTTTGGTTATGCAAACTACGTGTGTGCCGTGAATTGTCGTTAATATTGTCCTTTGGAAACTTTGATTAACTTGATTGCTAGTCTCCCCCCCCCCCNGGCTTAGTCCAAAATACCGGTAACTGACCATCTTTTGTTTAACATTTTAAATAAGTGCAGATATGAGTGTCCTTCATAGAGCCTGTTTGAAAATTTGTGCGCATTTATATAATTACTCCATGTTTTCTTGTATGATGAATGTCGGATGTGTATTAGAATAAAGCATTTGTGTGTCTGTTATGCTAGTGTATGTATACCGTAAACAGGGCTAGCTACAAACAGTATGTGAAATATTGACATTGACAAATAAATCACTCAGTTATCAAACTGGCGGAAATCAAAATAAAACAGAACTTTTAGCTGAAATAAATTAATGCCAATATTGGAGAGGGGAGCAAAATTGACACATTCAGACATAAAAAAAAAGGCCAGTATATATATCCATGGACTGAATTATGATTCATTATTATTTATTATTTTGGACTAACAGCGCACTCAAATTCAAATAAATTTGTAAAACATGTAAGTATATATAATATATCTTTCATTGATCAATATATACTCATTGTGGAAGAAACTGATCTGTGGTGTTTGTCTTTTGAATTGTTCAATTGTTCTTGAGGTAGATGATGTTTATCCAGCTATTGATATTGATTAGTAACTTCATATTCTCATATTTTCAAATCATAGTGACTAGATGTGGAAGAAGATAGAAGATTTTTTAAGTAGATCTTTTCTCCTTTCTACTTTCCTGTGTTCCAACTATGTGACATGAGTTTAAATTCAGTGTGCTCCCAGAATTATATTAGGTGTGTCAATGTTTAGAAATGTCATGGGTATCATGTTCTATACAATGAATATATGATACAATGTTGATGATACACTGATGATGTACTTCTAATTTTGATTACAGTCATGTCCTCTGGAAATGTGACGGGATCGTTACCAATGCGTGAAAGGTACCTCCTTCTTACTGAATTAAAGGAACTACTACTTGACTCAAAAAAGAGACCACAGCTATACCAGGCCTTTGGATTTATTAAGCCCACTCTTGGGCCTACTTTTGGATCTCATATGCATATATATGTGTCAATAAATTCGCTGGTTGATTATTAAATGATAATAAGTTAAGTAATCTATTTATGATCAATGTACGAGGGTTTTTCCTTACTCATGATACCATTGGTAAAAATTGGATCTGATTATTTTTTTGTGAACTCTTTTTTAATAAAATAATGACATTGTAAATTGTAAGCAGTTCAAATTTATCTGAAGACCCCCACTGAGGTTTATAACCCATAAAGTAATAACGTCATGTTTATTTCAATCTGAAACTGCGAAAAAACAAAATGAAGAAAAGATTCTGTAAACAAGACTTCTTTCTGCAATTACTTGCTGACATTTTACACAGAGTTGCTACTTTATTGAAAAATAAGTCAAACTCGTTTGTAGGTGCCTATATTGATTCCAAGTTCGGTAAGTGTAAATGCATGTGTATGCCATTTACATTGATGAATTCATGGAAAAAATCTGTTAAGGCTTTCCAAATGTTTCAATATTTTTGTAGGGGAGGATAATTTCATGCAGTAGATATAGCCCACAGACATATTTTAAAAACTTAAACTAGCCTGACCTGTGTTTCCATTGTAAATATTGAAATGTTTATTGGCCCAGATATAAAATCTACTAGCACCAGGCATCGTTGTTGGGAGAATTTAAGATAAAACTAATAAAAGACTATAAAATAAGGTTTGTGAGCAGTAACTAAATCATCTCCAGATAATCCCAGAGTTGATATGAAAGATGACGGTTATAAATACACCAGTAATTAACAATTTATCAATTAATGTTTTTGTTCAACATTGAAATGAATAATTTCTGGAAAGCCTTTCCCTTTAATCTGCATGTATGCATTTCTTGCATTGTTAAATATTTTGTGGATGAAGTATGGATGTTACCAAGTTTATTAAGGGATAATTGAATGGTAATTAAGTAAACCAATACCAGACAATACCAGATAGCAGTACATGGTATAACTTAGAAGTTAGTTACTTGCTTTAACTGTGACCCAGGAAAAATCTTATAATTTATTCACATAAATCTTTCATAATTAGTTTCAGTATCGGTAACATCATGTAAGCATTAAAATGGTCTTAATCCCGAAGTAATAATGAGTTAAAATTCTGTAGGTTTTCTAGAATATTTGACAATCCATGCTCTATAATCTTACTTTAATACTTTATCATTTCAGCATGGATCCAGGCAACTCTGGGGATGGAACTGCGGGCAATCCCACCCTGACTGAACTGATGAAGACCATATATGATAGTCCTGCTCCACGCCAGTTAATGTAAATTGATATCTCTTTATAGATGGATGATATTCCAGATATTTATCTCCCTTCTTTTTAGTTCAATTTTAACAACTATTTATTCTGAATAACATTTTCACAATTTGTCAGAGAGATATTGTTATAAAGTAATTTTCCTGTTTATCAAATTTTTTATTGAGATTGTTTTTATCGTATTTTAGGGTATACATTTCATGTATAATAATGATTTAAATGATATGGGAAAATGTGAGCGTTGATACCTTGTCATTGTGGAGTGGTAAAATACTCCATGTATTAAAGTTAATAGACACCAGTGTTGTGTCCATTGTCTACAGAACACTACAGGGATCAGACACGGTGAACAGCTTCAGTGTGTACGGGCGAGAAGTGGACATCATGGCCAGTAAGGGTAGCAGTGGCATTATAACGAGTACTGGTGTGATGTCACAGTCTACAACAGGCAGCAATAAGGTAAGTCACAGGTCACAATAGGGTAGGTCACAGCAGGGATTTTCCTACCATTTTTTTTTCGTGTCCAGGGTCCAATGAATTGGGAATTTTTAGCGGTAAAATTTGAAATTGGGGGAATAAAATTTAATACATTTTCCAGTTTCTGTCAATAAATTTTACTTCTTATCATGAGAAATTGCATTCTTGGTATTAGAATTTCTTATTTATTTTTCAATGCATAAGCTTAGGTCTAGCGTACAGTATTTTCATAATTTTATTATACTATCAAATATATACGGTAGTTGTAATATTTGTCTATTTCCTTTAAAACTAAAAGGAAAACTTTTATTTTTATTTTAAAGTCATTTATTTACCTAAACCTATTTAACTGTAAAAAGAAGAAAATACAGTAATAAATGTAATTGAACAAACAAATAAATTGATTATTTCCGGATTCTGTGCCCGGATGTTGGTTCCCTTATTAGAAAACAAATATGGCCGACAGCATGTTTATCACACTGCCGACTTTACGGACAGATAAACTTCAGTTCTTTACCAAGATTCTTTTGTGAAATAAAAGATACTGAATTAGTAACAAAGAATGCTTCTTTGATGGTTAGTATCACTTTCCCGAGTTATACATGTTGTACATTTGTTTAACTCCAACTTTAAATCTTGCAAAAATGGCCATCTGATTGGGAATCTTTCAATGGCAAATAGGGAATTTTAGCAAGATTTTCCAAATTTTATTGTAGGAAAATCCCTGCACAGGTCACAATAAAGTAGGTCACAGGTCACAATAGTGTAGGTCACAGGTCACAATAAGGTAGTTCACAGGTCACAATAAGTGTGTCACAGGTCACAATAGGGTAGGTCAAAGGTCACAATAAGGTATGTAACCACAGCAGGGATTAATGCAGGAATAGAAAGTTAGTACCTTTTTTTGAAATAGGGGAAAATATGTGCTGTATGTGCATGACCCGTCCAGTGAGGGCTGTTCATTATAAACGCTGCAAATTGACCATCGGATAGAATAATGTGTTTGTGTGACTGTTCAGATAAACAAGGCTGGCTGTAAACAGTGTTGTAAAATATCAGCAGTGACAATCAACATGAACATGGGGGAAAATGAAATAAATCACTCAGTCATGGAACTGACAGAAAATATAAACAAAATGGAACCAAGACGGATATTCATGTGGAAGTATTAAGTTACAAGTGGGGATTTTTTTTTACTGAAATATGGGGAAATAATGCCAAAATTGGAGAGGGGAACTGGCCCATATTCCACCATAAAAAAGGCCTGTATATATCCCAGAACAGGTATCTATAAGGTATTATAATCTTTTAATTGGTTTGTAATAGAGAGTAGTTAACTGGTTGATGGTAAAATGCAATTATGATTATTTATAATTTTACTGAACTGAATACCTAATTATAGTAACAACACTATTGTATTAAGTTTTCCTCTTGTACTTTAACACAGTGTTAAGTGTTTTTGTTCAACATTAACTTCAATCATACAATAAAAACATTAACTTCAATCATACAATAAAAATCAACAAATTAAATCACGTTCAGTATACACTCTACATTGTATACATTTGACACTTGAGTTTAGTAATAAAGATACACACATTATTTATAAAACAATAAAAAAAGAACGTTTGCTTATTCTAGCTCTGAAGTCTTATTAGCAGGGAGTGGTTTTGTCTTCAAAGGTACACACGCCAAGGGAAAGTAGGATAATACAGACAGTTTAGGTAATGTGATTGTTTTCTGTGTGACAGGTGAAGATAACTCCGGTGGTGAAGTATGACTGGGAACAGCTCCACTACATCGGTAACCTGGTGGCGATACACAAGAACAGCCTACACGCAGCTTATACTCTCCGAGGTAAGGACATCAGCAATGTACCAATAACCTCATTCAACAAGATTTATTTTCATAACAGATGCCTACAGGCCAGGGATCTCTATAGGATTTATATGTTCCTGTAAATTGGGAGAAAATACATATTGCGTCCTTAAGGATGATTGTTGTACAGTGTAACAGCTGTTATGTTTCTAGTTGATATCAAAAGATTGAAGAAAATCATTGCAGAGAAATGTGTTTGATGGTGATAAAGCGAGTTAATTTAATTTAAATAGATTTCATCAACAAAAAAGCTTAAAGGTTCAGAGTTCAATGATGCAGTTTAAGTTGAATTTGTCTCCAGATCAGCTCGATTTTCATCCCATGAACTTGGCAACTATACGTCATTTCAGTTGTTGATATCCTCAAGTACAAAGTGATTGAAGTAAAGAATCGAGTGACATTGTGTTAGTATCCTGAAATCTAAATCTGGCTATCATGAATGGCTTTAATAGAGACTGATCTTGTATCTACTTAAGCATAATGGTTGTTGTAAAACTCTGTGTTTTTGTTTGTTTAGGAAAGTCTGGTGTATCTACTTAAGCATAATGGTTGTTGTAAAACTCTGTGTTTTTGTTTGTTTAGGAAAGTCTGGTGGCATCGTGCGGATCATTAATCGTCGGACAGCCGAACGCGTCCTGTTAAAGGATTTTACTGGCAAGGTTATAGATATAGCCTTTGCTCACACAGACGATGTCATCTTTGGCGCTGTCGATGAGGTTGGCAATCTCTTCGTGTACAGCATCAAGGAAACAGACTATGGGAAACTTGTGTATCCTTTTAAATTTAGAAATATGAACTTAAAGTATAAAACAAATTATTGCAACTTATAATAATCACTTTTGTTGGCCCAAATGTTGGGTTGCTGGGGATTTTAAGGTGGGAGGAGACAGGAGTACCCAGAGAAAACCCACATGGATCGGCAGGTGACCACATACTTTTTCACATCCAATCTGGGAATCGAATCCTGGTCACCTTAAAAATGCATTATCCGCTGCACCACCTGACCACCTAAAAGTACACATTTAGAAATATATATATATATATGAAAACAACGTTTACCCTATCTATATTTGGCTATAAGTTGGTCCGAAATATTGGTATATTATTTTTGTTAGATTTATTTTTTAAGCTGTTCAGAGTTTCATTTTTTAATTTCCTATATGTGTGTGATACAAGAAGTACTGGAAAAAATGCTTTATTCTTTAATTAAAAGATAGCATGAGGTTATGGTCTTTTAAAGTAGGGACAATTTGTGTTATTAGCCTTGACTTTGACAGAACTAACCTGGTTCTTCACGTGCTCCGTGATAAAGACACACCACACACAGAGTACCACCGCCTGATCTGGTGCCCATTCATCCCCGACGACTCGGACGACAGCAGCGTGACCGAGTCCTCCACTCAGGACGCCTCCAGGGTCCTCGTTCTCACCCACAATGAGAAGGTACTAGTTACAGCTTGATACACAGAAGTACAGAATTAATGGTGATCAGTTGGGTTTGTATCACTCGGCACCAAAAAGTGATCCTCAATTCAAAATAAAATACAATACTTGTTTCTCTCTACATCACTGTGTAAGTCTGACTATACAATATCATGGGTAACGCTACATTGATAAGGGACCTTCTGGGTGCTTGAAATAAATGTATAAGTGAAAAACACCCAGGTATTGAATGGTCACTTGAACACGCTAGATATATGATATCAGGTCCTATATCCTTCATAGTATATTGCTTGGGAAAGGAGTGAAGCACCTTGTTTTAATCATTGTACTTGCTAGTGAACTTTTCTCCATTTTACAAAATCTGTAATAAGTATTAAAATATAGGGATTCCATTGTCTTCAGTTAATAACTGTTATTACTATTAAAATACATGGTTTCCATGCATGGTCTTGATAACAGCATAGGAGTTATAATGAACATAATTAATGAACTTGGTTTTTACAGGAGAATCCCTTTCTCAGATAAATCTCTGCTAGTAATAATTTCTCCTTCAGTTATTGCAACATTTAAAACATTCCTTACTTGTCTGGTTTACACTTTTTTTTTTCATACTTTGAGATTTCTTTTTTTCTCTGTTTCATTGGTGACAAACATTCCGAAAGGCGGCTGCCTTGCCAAAGACTCCATCTTAAAATCACCCCTTTAAACACCCAAACAAGCCATCATATTTAGATAAAGAGTAAAATTCAGGTGTAGTTCCCTGGTTGGTTTTATATGTCAATCAACCTTGTTTTATGTAGAAAACAGTCAGCTGTTTAGCTTATGTCAGGCACAACTGACTCCTCAATCTACATCCCAAATTTTCTAGAGGTCAGCTTGGTCCCGATTAGAACCTGCTGTTTCTTTTCAGGTTCAATCAGTTGAAATGTTTTAGCCATATAACCAAAGTGCTCTAGTACATAACCCTTCCTCGGTTTCTGAATATAGAATTACAGTAAATTTGAGTACATGGATGAAATTGACGGCTAGAATTTCTAAAATGAAATGGACTGTTTATATTAATGTGTTGTTGATTATTAGGCGGAGATCTGGAATGTGGACCTGGTAACTAAGGAGTACTCGAGTGGTCCGCTGTTAGCTGAGGACGTGGAATTTGGTCTTATCCTGATCAACAGTCACACACAGGTAAAAACATTGGTACAAAACTTGTCATGTGTACTAATTAAGTACCTTTGTCCCTTGCTCAGTTTTGATAATCAGCCAAATTTATATTATATATAATGATTGCTGGAATCTGATTGGCTGGTATTAATGGATTCTGCATTTAATGTGTCTTTGAAGCAATGATATTTGATAACCATGAAACTTGTCTCGTATCCTTTCTGCCAAAACAGCTTCCTCAAGTTTGATTTAGGGATAATTCTTGCATATTTAATGAAGCTGCAAGCAATTTGATTGAATAAATATCAATCATATATTTTAGTGGGATTACTATATTGTCATGAGACTTGCGTTAATTAAACTATCTGCCAAAGGTTGTTGCGATCTGATCATTAATTCAGCTGCAAATACATTGTATTTTATCATAAAAAAGGAATAAATGTCCATGTGAAGGAAGTAAATATAGAAAAAATAAGATTAACAACCGACTAAAAAACTAGCTGCTTTCACCCTTCACAGGGCTCTTCAGGTTTCATATATAGATAAATTCCAAATGGTCCATCATTCCACCTAAGTTAGGCAGGCGACACATCCACTCGGTGGAATTCTTCATCCCTCACTTCAAACTAATGTTGGTTATAGAATTCAAGTTATTTCTCAGATGTTAACTGTTATATTAAACATGTTTTATCGTAAACATTTTGACTATGCTGAGATGCAAATGCCATGTGTGCTCCTTAAATAATAAGGGAGGGTAAAATTACCAGTCGTCCGAACTGTAATTCCTGTGTGTACTGTGAATGTCTGACTTTCCTCGTCTGTCTACCAGCCCATCATGGATGCAGCATTTTCACCGGACGGCACAGCTCTCGCCACAGCAAGTTTGGACGGAGAAGTGAAGTTCTTCCAAGTCAATATGGGTGAAAATACCTCTCCTAGGTGAGTGTAAAAGTCCTCGGCATCTCAAGCAATTTTTTTAACCTGGGTGCCTTTGGCAGGGTATTTCACTGAGGTAGCACTCTAAAGGAGAGCACGAGATCTGCGCCGTCCCTTAAATGACAGTCCTGTTAATAGGGTATATAGGGTAGGACAAAATAAGACCAAATCATTGAGTAGATAATCAGTCCTGATATTGTACAAATTGTCTCTTTCTGAATATAAAGAAAGCCGAACATTTGAGATTAGACTGGATTGAAAAAATATTTCAAAATACGATAAAGAGAATGTATCATTTAAATGTAACAGTTACTGTTGTTTCCCGTTATTTCCGATTTTGTCGACACATATTTCTGATCTTTATTTTTCGTTGTGTAGGTGTCTCCACCAATGGAAGCCACACGACGGTAAACCGCTGTCAAGTCTGTTTTTCCTGGACGACCACAAGTACTTCAGTGCTGAGTAAGTATAATTAATGACTTAAGGCTGAAAGGTTTTCTCAGACACGACAATAGTCATTGTTTTAAATGAATATAGCAGAAGTTGCTGATCCTATCCGAAATACTATTATTAAAGACTTGCTCCATGAGCTATAACGGAACATTGTTGCAACAATGATATTTTTCAAAAACCGCTCTAAAGCAATTTGATCAGTGAAACAATCATTTAATGATTCATATATTTTCCGACTTTTTTAAATATATTTTTTTAACCTTTTTAATTCCATACATTTGCAAAATAAAATGCATCTGTGTTATAAAATGAATGAAAATATATATCTCAGTAATGTTGATTTTTATGTACAACAAATTTATAAACTTCAATTATCAGAAATCTCGATATAAAAAACAATTATTCTGTTACTTTATAAAATCCTGTAAGTAACTACTATTGGACTTAATGTTGCTGATGTTTGACTAGACAGCTGACTTTGCGAGGATGCCATTGACTTTTCAGAACTGATCCCTTGAAGAAGTGTTGGTAATTTGCACAGAGCACAATGTCTTTCCCTCCATTTGTTTGGTGTAACATTGTATGTTATGTAGGATGTCATACAAACCACGTTTTGTATATAAAACAGGCCCAGTGGATCTGACGTTGATTTGATAATCAGAATACTAATTATTTTTTCAAAAGAACTTGGTTTAAATATTGAGTCATTGGTTACTGCTGAACATATTAAGTTTTTAATCCATTTCAACCTTTATATGTTGTGTGATAGTTAAATTTCCTTATTTCCTAGTTTATTTTTCTTTGGATATAAATAAGCATTATAACACCAAGTGAGAGAATGATTGTACTCTCTCACTTAAAACTACAGTCAGTAGGTCTATGATGTATATATATATACATATATTGATGACAATATGCTATTATTTTCCGTTTTCAAAAGGTAACTGCATACTATTTTTAGAAAACATTACATTACATACTGAAGATTAAATTCCTTGTATAGTATAATTCTATAAGCCAAAATATTAAAGTGAATTTTCTAGGTAAATAATACATTAATTTTATGACCAATTTCATTTATTAAATTCTATTTTTTTCTATTTATTTCCTCTGTTGAATAGTTTTCATCCACCCTTTGTTTATTTAACTGATGCCTTGGTGTGTGTGCCTTATATAGAATCATCATAATATCACACAACATTCGTACCTCTACAACAGCAGACGTTTTATCATTTTCTGTTTTGTCAGACACCTAACTCCGAGGAAGACATAGCAGCTTACATGTATTAACCCTTTCACCCCTATGTTACTTTAATAGACTCTACCGAGCATTGATATGGATGGGTCCATTATGGTCTACAGTGGTGAAAGGGTTAAGTAATTGATGTTTGGCTGCTATTGATCAGTGTTGTGACATTATGTCAGTATATTTTTAGATAATTATTAGTTACTTTATGAAACAGAATTTGATCTTGATAGTGCCACAGTAAGAAGTCAAATCAGTAAAATTTCATTGTGTAGATTTCAAACAAACTAAGTAGCAGTGAGAACTATATGTTATAAGCCTGGTATATACGTGTTATAAGCCTGGTATATACAGCTAATTAAATAGATATTAGATAATCAGATATTAAATCATATTGAAATGATGCAAAAATGTAATCAACATTTCTTTTAAATCTGTTTTGAGTTAAATAAGTTGTCAATTACGTACAATGATTTATTTTTTCTGTATATTTCAGCCTGTATGACACAGGACCTTGCCCTACATACATAGAGGATCTTGCATTTGTGTCCATCTTATATTGAAATTATTTTAAACGGGCTCAATAATTTGATATGACACAAGCCTTTAGGCGAGCGTCATATTAGATTACTGAATGAGTTTAATCAATTAAATATGACATGGACACGAATGTAAGATTCTTTTTAGGTCACCTGAGCTTTAGCTCAAGTGACCTATTGCTATCCGTTTTCGTCCGTCGTCGTCCGTTAACATTTTACATTTCAAACTTAAAGTATAGTTCTACTTGGCTGATTGAACTGAAACTTTGTAGGAATGATCGAATCATGGTCCTGACAAAGAGTTGTTATTTTTCGGGTCAATCAGAAATACAATTTGGCTGCCATGGCCGCTATTTTGTAAATACCTATTTCAAACTTAAAAACAAGTTCTAATAGGCCGATCTCACTGAAAATCGGTCTAGGAATGATCAGCTCATGGTCCTGACAAAGTTAAGTTAACATTATACTTAACTATTTTTTACTCAAATTGGTACATATTTCAACAACAAAAATAAATACTGTAGGACTCAGGTGACCGTTAAGGCCCATGGGCCTCTTGTTATCACATAACATTCATTTCTTGAAAAAAAACACCTTCAAACACAAAAGCGGACTCTATATAGATCAAAACCAAACTACTCCGATGACAGTTATGTAGTTTCTTGCAGTGCAAAGGTGTTCCAGATTTTTTGTTTTAATAATGATCAGTTTTACATGCAATGAAATAAAGTAACACAAAAATCAACATTTTAACTTCATTTAAGATAATTAAAGTAAATGTATTATGTGGTAGATTAAATCGAAGTAGTACCTGTAGTGGCGTAGGAATATATGTTCCCACAGGTTTGACCAATCGCAGCACTTTTAGGTTTTATTACACGTGTGTAATACCATATTTATGACATGGCTGTATGGCATTAAAAAAAGGTCTGTTGGTTATGTGATGAATGTGTGATATGTAATGTTGTATGGCGTAGCTCGACCAAAACTCCATTTTATCTGGTACACATAGGTTGTAAGGCAATTTACACATGACGGATTGAATCCAGAAACTATGGATACAATTTTGGCAATTTGTACAGTCATTCCAGAAATCACATGTTGAACATTGTTTGATTTTTTTTTATAGAAAATTTGAAACAGAATTGAACAGAATATGAATGTATTAAAGATGTAAATAAAACAACTATAAGCCTCGCCGTAGCTGTCAGACTTAAGAAAATCTTCAGTACATCTCTGATTTTCTCATTTGTTTTGACTACAGTGCCCAGTTCTGGAAGTTTGCTGTGACTGGAGCTATGAATAATCAGGAGCTGAAAATCTGGACGTGCGAGTCGTGGACGTGTCTACAGACCATCAGGTAGGTTTACTGAAGATCTGGACGTGTCTACAGACCATCAGGTAGGTTTACTGGAGATCTGTACGTGTCTACAGACCATCAGGTAGGTTTACTGGAGACCTGGACGTGTGAGTCTTGGACGTGTCTACAGACCATCAGGTAGGTTTACTGGAGATCTGGACGTGCGAGTCATGGACGTGTCTACAGACCATCAGGTAGGTTTACTGGAGACCTGGACGTGTGAGTCTTGGACGTGTCTATAGACCATCAGGTAGGTTTACTGGAGATCTGGACGTGTCTACAGACCATCAGGTAGGTTTACTGGAGATCTGGATGTGCCAGTTATTGATGTGTATATACAATTTACCCTTTAGTTGATGGCGAAGTGTCACATACTGAAATTTAATTTCATGCCCCATTATAGACAAGTTATAGCCATTTGTTCAGTGACAATTGGGCAAGGTATAGGGGACTATTGATTGCTTGCACTACTTTACCTTGTTTCAATATTTTTGTTCTTCTTTTTAAGATTTTCCTGCCCACCAGGATTACCATCAAACTTCCAACTGGACCCGTGTATGAAAGCTGCGTTAGATTTGAGTGCCAAGTATCTTGTCTTGTCTGACATCAGGAGGAAGGTACGAGCTCGTTGTTGGTAAATGGGGGTGATGAAGATAGTGACTTAATGGTCTTAATTATGAGTGCTCAGCTACAGGATTAAAATGTTGGTATTACTTCATGAAAACAAATAAACTCTGAGTGATCTAAAAGAATGTCGTTAGGAAATATGATTAAGAAAGTTTTTCTTTTGTATTTGAGAAATTCATTGAACTATACCAATCAAATTTGGGAGGGGGGGGGGGGTTACAGTTTGTTATTCATCAGCCTACTTAAAGTCATAGGTTTAAAACACACTAATAGCAGTTAAAACAATGTGTTTTATTAACAAGATACTTTACCCTGAAAAACCCTGGGAGTTCTAGTCTATCCAGTTGTGCAGAAAGGTACCAGCAACATAGTTATACATGTGCTGCAAAAATATGTCTTTTCCCATCAATACAGAGTGGCCTTGTGTATTGGCTTGAATGGAGGGGAATATAAAGGTGAACATCAGATGAATGGCAATTTCTGTTTGCAGTAATTCTACGCTCATATTTTTTAGTGCAAGAATAATGCATCGCCTACTGAATCTGCAATACAGTGTAGCATATGAAACATAACGGGGAAAAGGGGGAAAATTGACATAATAATATACAACATGTCATAGTGTAAAATGTGTCAGGATGGTCAGATGAACGGCAATTTCAGTAGTTCTATGTTCATAGTTTTCAATGCAAGAATAATGCATCGCCTACTGAATCTGCAATACAGCTAGTGTAGTATAATATTATGAAACTTAACCGGGCATGTCTCGATGTAAAATGTGTCAAGATGAACAGTTTGCATTTCAGAAAATACCAGATTGTAAATTGAACCTGCTATTTCTGCTGTGTTGTAGGTGCTATATGTGTTACAAATACATCAGGAGGGGGATTCTAATGCTGCCCACGTGAGCTCGGTGTCCGAGTTCCTACTAGCCCAGCCCTGTCTCAGCTTTGCTTTAATGGACGCCAGCAAGAAAAAGTTCAAGAAGTCCATCATAGAGGATGATTCTCACCTAGACGACATCACAACAGGTATCTGGTTCTCGTACTCTTGATCATTTAGTAAACCTTAAAGTCAACAATTGGGCTCTTGATTTCGTTTTCAATAATTAAAAAAAAACGCTGCTCAAGTCTGAACTCTTTCTCTACTTCTGTCAAAAATGTCAAAAAACTTGAGATTCCTTGCCTTGTTGTCTAATATTTTGGACAAAGTATTTTGGAACTGATAGGTTGGTATAGGTAAAATGATTTAAAATCTATCCATGAAACGGAACAAGTGATATTTATATCTATACAATTATCAGGTTCTAGTATAGTCTTATAAAAGTGGTCCAAAGCTGCATCCCGTTGTAGTTGTAGAGGTGCTTGTTTCACCTAAATAACCTTTCAATGTTAAACAACTATTTTATTGCAACTTGAACATTCTTCATTCTATTATTTCTTAAAATGATAACAAAATTTGAATTAATCGTCTTGTAATAAGAATTCATTGTCGTAAACAATTAATGTGAATGTGAATTGTGTCAAGTTTTTCTTTACTAAATCAACAAATCAGCATCAGCTTAAAAAGTGTTAAATACAGAAATTGGGGTTAATGAAGTAGCCGAAGTACGCAGTTTAAGAAACATTTCACTTCCTGAGTTGTCGTCTTTACAGACAAGCATTTCTGTTTTCCTCCATTGTAGGTGAACTTGAACGGGACGAAAACGAGGACGGAGACAGTAAAGTCGACGGCGTTACTACGTCAGGAGTTCAGATAAAACTCTACACTGTACACCCTAAGTATGTCTGATGTTGTCTATAAGGTCTGATGGTCCTTAACATACAAAGTGGACAGTGTTATGTCAGGAGTTCAGATAAAACTCTACACTGTACACCCTAAGTATGTCTGATGTTGTCTATAAGGTCTGATGGTCCTTAACATACAAAGTGGACAGTGTTATGTCAGGAGTTCAGATAAAACTCTACACTGTACACCCTAAGTATGTCTGATGTTGTCTATAAGGTCTGATGGTCCTTAACATACAAAGTGGACAGTGTTATGTCAGGAGTTCAGATAAAACTCTACACTGTACACCCTAAGTATGTCTGATGTTGTCTATAAGGTCTGATGGTCCTTAACATACAAAGTGGACAGTGTTATGTCAGGAGTTCAGATAAAACTCTACACTGTACACCCTAAGTATGTCTGATGTTGTCTATAAGGTCTGATGGTCCTTAACATACAAAGTGGACAGTGTTATGTCAGGAGTTCAGATAAAACTCTACACTGTACACCCTAAGTATGTCTGATGTTGTCTATAAGGTCTGATGGTCCTTAACATACAAAGTGGACAGTGTTATGTCAGGAGTTCAGATAAAACTCTACACTGTACACCCTAAGTATGTCTGATGTTGTCTATAAGGTCTGATGGTCCTTAACATACAAAGTGGACAGTGTTATGTCAGGAGTTCAGATAAAACTCTACACTGTACACCCTAAGTATGTCTGATGTTGTCTATAAGGTCTGATGGTCCTTAACATACAAAGTGGACAGTGTTATGTCAGGAGTTCAGATAAAACTCTACACTGTACACCCTAAGTATGTCTGATGTTGTCTATAAGGTCTGATGGTCCTTAACATACAAAGTGGACAGTGTTATGTCAGGAGTTCAGATAAAACTCTACACTGTACACCCTAAGTATGTCTGATGTTGTCTATAAGGTCTGATGGTCCTTAACATACAAAGTGGACAGTGTTATGTCAGGAGTTCAGATAAAACTCTACACTGTACACCCTAAGTATGTCTGATGTTGTCTATAAGGTCTGATGGTCCTTAACATACAAAGTGGACAGTGTTATGTCAGGAGTTCAGATAAAACTCTACACTGTACACCCTAAGTATGTCTGATGTTGTCTATAAGGTCTGATGGTCCTTAACATACAAAGTGGACAGTGTTATGTCAGGAGTTCAGATAAAACTCTACACTGTACACCCTAAGTATGTCTGATGTTGTCTATAAGGTCTGATGGTCCTTAACATACAAAGTGGACAGTGTTATGTCAGGAGTTCAGATAAAACTCTACACTGTACATCCTAAGTATGTCTGATGTTGTCTATAAGGTCTGATGGTCCTTAACATACAAAGTGGACAGTGTTATGTCAGGAGTTCAGATAAAACTCTACACTGTACATCCTAAGTATGTCTGATGTTGTCTATAAGGTCTGATGGTCCTTAACATACAAAGTGGACAGTGTTATGTCAGGAGTTCAGATAAAACTCTACACTGTACATCCTAAGTATGTCTGATGTTGTCTATAAGGTCTGATGGTCCTTAACATACAAAGTGGACAGTGTTATGTCAGGAGTTCAGATAAAACTCTACACTGTACATCCTAAGTATGTCTGATGTTGTCTATAAGGTCTGATGGTCCTTAACATACAAAGTGGACAGTGTTATGTCAGGAGTTCAGATAAAACTCTACACTGTACATCCTAAGTATGTCTGATGTTGTCTATAAGGTCTGATGGTCCTTAACATACAAAGTGGACAGTGTTATGTCAGGAGTTCAGATAAAACTCTACACTGTACACCCTAAGTATGTCTGATGTTGTCTATAAGGTCTGATGGTCCTTAACATACAAAGTGGACAGTGTTATGTCAGGAGTTCAGATAAAACTCTACACTGTACACCCTAAGTATGTCTGATGTTGTCTATAAGGTCTGATGGTCCTTAACATACAAAGTGGACAGTGTTATGTCAGGAGTTCAGATAAAACTCTACACTGTACACCCTAAGTATGTCTGATGTTGTCTATAAGGTCTGATGGTCCTTAACATACAAAGTGGACAGTGTTATGTCAGTAGTTCAGATAAAACTCTACACTGTACACCCTAAGTATGTCTGATGTTGTCTATAAGGTCTGATGGTCCTTAACATACAAAGTGGACAGTGTTATGTCAGTAGTTCAGATAAAACTCTACACTGTACACCCTAAGTATGTCTGATGTTGTCTATAAGGTCTGATGGTCCTTAACATACAAAGTGGACAGTGTTATGTCAGTAGTTCAGATAAAACTCTACACTGTACACCCTAAGTATGTCTGATGTTGTCTATAAGGTCTGATGGTCCTTAACATACAAAGTGGACAGTGTTATGTCAGTAGTTCAGATAAAACTCTACACTGTACACCCTAAGTATGTCTGATGTTGTCTATAAGGTCTGATGGTCCTTAACATACAAAGTGGACAGTGTTATGTCAGTAGTTCAGATAAAACTCTACACTGTACACCCTAAGTATGTCTGATGTTGTCTATAAGGTCTGCTTAACAAACAACCTGACACTGCATGTTAAGAACTACAAACAGAAATGTATCTATACAGAGAACTGAAAGGTCCATGTCAAAATTGTGAACCAATATAAGTAAGATAATTATATATCTATACGGTATATCCATGTAAGACATCTTCATAGACCATCTCAGTTTGATTAGAGGTGCAGTCTAGTATCTGCACAACTGGATAGACAAGAACTCTCAGGGGTTTTCAGGGTAAAGATATGACTAAAAAATATGTAAATACTGCATTCACTTATGGTGACAGTGCCATGGGTCTTACAATGATGTACCAAGGGGTGATCCTCTTACAATGATGTACAGAGGGGTGATCCTCTTACAATGATGTACCGAGGGGTGATCCTCTTACAATGATGTACCGAGGGGTGATCCAAGGCATTGCCACCTCTCAGGAATATCGTGTTATTATTATTATTATTATATTATACCATATGTCAACATTTCTTGATAAAGATTGCAAATTGTAACAGTTGATTAAAACTTAGACCTATCCAGGTGTCTGTACTACCAAAACACAGACAGAATGTGACATCCATGTTAAAAACAATTCTGGAGGAAACAAGCTAAACACTTAAATAATTTGAAGAAAACATTTGTAAATAGAAAAGAAAAAACAAATGATAACAACAACGATTAGCTACCATAGACCATTTCATCAAAAGGAGTTACAATATTTTTGTTGTTGTGATTATACAAATCTTTGATTGATTGATTACACAAAGTCGTAAAGCATTTATTGTGTAATGATTTGAAGGGATATGAATCACTTACTGATAACACAAAGTCGTAAAACATTTATTTTGTAATGATTTGAAGGAAAATGGTTCACTCATTATTTGTGTATTGATTTCCAGGACTCTACAAGAGCTACAGATTCGTTTCCGCCCGGAGTCGTCGGCCCCTCCGCTACCCACACCATCAGTTAGCACCATCTCCCACGACGACACAGGTAACCATATTTACACATTGTGCTATAATTACTAGAACCACTAGATGGTTACTCGTAGTCGAGTGCTAGACTAATGGTGTTATTCTTCCTTGAAGGTAGATGTTAGTGACTGGAAATATAGGAACCTTGTAGTGGATTTTGTTTTATTTAAGGCTGTATGCTACCTTGTAGTGGATTTTGTTTTATTTAAGGCTGTATGCTACCTTGTGCATGAAATTGTGATTTGTGTTAGAATAATCCCCTTTTAAACTGTATTGAATAATTCAGTATAATTCAAGTGATATCAATATAGGTATTCTTATGTGTTTTAGATTTGTCATCAGTTAATTCATTGAAAATCACTCAAGATTCATGAATTCTTGTATTGGCTAGGATATTTGAAATCTTGATAGACTTTCTTGGTGAATTAATGTGAAAACATCTTTCTCAAAATAGAAGTATTTTTTGACAGAATTCATAAAAGTTGTTTTACTGCAGCATTCTTCTGTAAAGGATATCCATTTCACAGGAAGGTAGCATATCTCCTTAATGTTGATATTTTATTCCTACTTCTGTTTTCTACATCACTACTAGTACAGATAGAATTAGTGTCTTTATTTATATATTTAGTATCATCTTTATATATACTGTAAACCTCCATATATTAGTAGTATTCTTATTTTAGTGACTTTTAGCACTTTTTTCTGTTGCACTGGTAATTGTGCATTGAACTACAACTAAAGTACATATTTTCCAAAGAATATTTGCTGAAGGGAAAGAGTCAGTGGACTGAAATTCAGATTGTGTGATCAGGTCATATGACATATGTAAATAGGAGTGCTGATATAGGTATATCAACAGTGTATCAGCTATCACTTATACAGACATCGTTAGCAGTGTCTCGTGTGGATCTTTGGAATGTCATTGAAGATATAAAACTACAGTATACCTCTCAGATTTACAGCTACAGTATGTTAACTCCTGATCGCAGAACAACTAGTTCTCGTACTTGGTTTAAACCCCAGTTTTCCTTCCAGTGATATAGAATATATAGGTTATAATGCGGTGTTGTTTCAGAATGAACAGGATATCTCGGATGATATTTTCTCAAAAACTTCTGAAATCATCATTTGCAGAAACCCAAAATAAGGGGTTTTCACCCCTAAAACAGTTAGTTGTATACACCCCTAGTTTCAAGAGTTGCCCTATATGTAACTACTGTAAGTACCTAGGGGTAACAGAATCTTGAAAATGTATCAAACATACCCCCAAATCTAAAATTCGTCGGAACACTGGATATAATTTCCGAAATAATTTTAGTGATATCAAGTCATTTATCTCTGCAAGCTTAAGGTTAAGTCTTTGAGAAAATTGAATATTGGTATAATTTAAAAAAATAGTTTGATTTTCTTTGTTTTGATGTTTGACCGTGTGTGTTTTACAACATCACATTCATGCTTCAGATTTTCATTGACATTTTACTGTGTGAATCAATTTGGTTGCATATAGACTTTGATGTGGAGTGTGGAATGGAGTTTTGTTTGAGGTGTACTGGAAAATGGTACGCTGACTGCTCACGAAATCCAGTACATGTTTTGTGTGAAATTTTCATTGACAGGGAAGCGTAGAATGAAGGGTAACTTCACACGTAGCTATGACGGGGCTTTTCCTGGCTATCGTAGTATATAGTGGGGACCAAACGTTGGCCCCATTTCAATGGGACCTTTTTTCTTCCAAATTCAATAATGACCAAATATAACAAAATTTTGACGTTTAATTTTTTCAATTTAATAAAATTTCATTTCTTATTTTCCATTCAGACGGTTTACAACAAGATGAAATCGACATAATTAAAAAAAATGACAGAGGAAATAAAAAAGAATAATAACATTAGATGCGTTTATATGCAATCGGTTATTTGCCAAGATATCCAGGAAAAGCCCTGCTGTATGTCGCTAATAGTAGTGTGTGGATTTGTAGTTTAGAAGTACATCAATGTCGTCTTTACAGTAGCATTACCTCTGATGCTGGAGATTTCCTTAAACTATTAAAATCCCTATCCCATATTATATAAAGTGAATGCTATCATTAACTGTCGGACTAGGGTAGACCTCTCTCTTAGACAATTAGTTATCCCTTGTTACAACTATACATTTGAAATAAAACTATTCTGATATGTTAAGCGTAAATATTTGTTCAGCACAAGTTAATATAAATCTATCCCCTGTGCACATATTTAGTCAAGAAACTTAGATATAGAAATAATTGCAGAGAAAAAATATGTCCCAAGTTGGACACATAATTGTCCTGTTAAGAAAATATCTATTTAATATATCTATTCAGTGAAAAGACTTGGAGATCACATAATTTTCGAGAGATGTATATGACAACAACACTATACAAATCGCGATACCCTATCGTCCAGATGCTGCTGGGTCTACACACAGTTGTAAAACAACCCATTTCTGTCATACTGTGTACAAACTGGTAGCTAGATTCTAGGAAGCAATATAAAGTTACCTCAGTTCACTGAGTTGTATGCAATGAAAACTTTTTTCTTTTTTTTTTTTCATCTTCATCAAGTCACATAAATATTTTACAGTTTTATAATCATTTATCAATCTTTTTTATCATTTTGTGTTCATATCAACTCTAGTCTTCATTCTCTCCATTTTGTTTCCATTTATATATACCAAAAACATTTTTCTGTGGTTACGATTTTGTGTAAATCATTTTATATGTTAAATTCATATTTTGTAAGTATTAAAAAGGCCTGTACAGTTTCCTACAGCCCTTTATATCTTCCTACCGACCCCCATAGTCCCAGAGGATTTTGATGTACATAATTTTGCTGTTGTGACCTTTCCTCTGCACACGGCCCTTATTTCCTTTGCACACCGCCCTTCCTACCTCTGTAGTCTGCTGTTTGTATTGTAACAATAAATTCTAAACACTGCATTTAACTGGGGGGGGGGGGGGGGGGGGTGTTCCAAGAAAAACACTAAAACTTTGGACTACAACTTAGAAACGGCTACAAGTACATGGTCATTGTGCATGTGAAAAAATCCTATGCTGGTTAAATTTACGAGATTTTCACACAATTCCATACATTTTCCTCATCATTTTAATTCTATTCAGTTTTAATAATCAATTAAAAATTCATTTGAGGGTGTGGCTTTCATAAAAAAAACTGCTTTATGTGCCAAGTCTTAATGCCAAGGTAAACGGTCTGGAGTTTGGTTTTGGAGAAAAGGAGGGCTAGCCACATATATAAACTCTCTGTACCTCCTACACTTCCAACACTGACTATTTAGGTTAGAGAAAAGGTTTGTCTAACTTTCCTGAGGGTGGGACCGGTAGCACGCGCATGTCACTGTCCTGAAAACATCTTCATTTTCACAACAGGATGGCGTCCTCAGACATTTTCACAACAGGATAGTGTATTCAGACATTTTCACAACAGGATGGCGCCATCGTCAGACATTTTCACTTTAGGCAGCATCACCATATCAAAATAGGATTGCTTCATCAGTTTTTTACTAATTATGTAAAAATCATACATCTTGACATAATGGTTTTCTTGAACAAAGATTATAAGTAAGTTTTTATGTACAGGTAATTATAATCAATGATGGATGTAACGCAGGTAGGAAAATTTCAACCCACAGGAAAAGATTTTGGGTAAAGTTTGCTGAGCCTCGGTTTAAACAATCAATGGAATTATGCTTTCAGTATAACAAACGCTTGTGAGAGCCTTGATTTCTGTACTAAATATCCTACTCTATGGTGGAGATTTTATCGGTTTTATCCTCCAAGTTACCCTTGTGTGTGAATCACCTTTGTCACTTGAAATCATTTGGATTGGATCACCATCATTATCACTTTATATTGTGTTACAGGATTAGTCTAACCTTTGTTTACCGCCATTTGTGGGTTGTCTCCCCTTCCAAAAATCTGTCGCTGTTCTGTTTAATGTTCCAAACGTTATGGAGTGAGTTATTATGCAATGTTTTGAGTCAGTTTGGTCACTATCTACAGTCAACCCTGTCTGTAGCACTAGATGCAAACATTTAAGAGACCAGTAAAAACATGTCACCTGACACGTACAGTACAGGTGGTCACTGTAGACAAAATGATGTCAAGTGGGTAATATCATCGAATCCTGTCATTGACCTCAAATATGATTTGTTTCTTATGTTAGTATGTAGGGAGAGAAAATAAAGGAAAAATTGGATTAAATTAATTTCATGTACAAAAATGTATCATTTGAATGTAATGTTTGCAGCGTAATATTAAATGTTAATGTTTCAATAATTAATATTTAGTGACAACAAATTAAAATAATCGCATGTTCCAACAATGGGGCCATTTAGCAGCCTTTGAAAATTGCATGCACGAATAAAGAACCTCCAGAAATTCTGCTGTAAACAGAAAAAGTGTATAATGCTTTAGCTAGCTTAAGTAAGTAGTGGTTTCTTGTCGGATAATTTCCTTTTATTTTGAAAAGGTTCTGTTTTCAAATTTCAAATTTCAAATTTGTAAATAAAGAAAATTAGGAGCTTTGAATTCACATAAAGATTTTCAATCACAATTTTTAGAACATGATATTTAAGAAATTTATTTCAATGGAATTTTTAAATTGGGAAGTTTTTCTAAATTTCAGGAAAGGAAAAAGTTTGAAAAGGGCTAAGGAAAATAGTGTTTGTGACAGATGCATCTTAGTACAATGCTTTTACTGCAGTGTTGTTTTGTGTTGTTTCTCGCACATACACAGGTTTCATAATATCTTCATAATATTTATGCTTTTCTCAAGTTTTCATACTTTATTTTGTATTTATCAGAAATTGATTCATTTCTCAAGACTTTCTTTTCAAATTTTATTCATTTAAGAACTGTGATCATAATTACCAAAAGGCCATTTCAGAATTTATCCTAAGGGAGATGTGGGGGGGGGGGGGCATTTTATTGGAATTAATTTGTTTTGTTTGTCTGTATAAGATTGTCGTCAGCACTGTGAACTTGTTGTGTTGCAGGGCTACAGGACGGCCTGTCTTACATGAGCATCAGTATGGAGATGAGCGTGACCGATGTGGACAGCAGTAAGGAAAGCCCTATGTCAGGACAGCCTGCCCCAGTTCTACTCACTCCTGATGTGTTCAAAGCTAGTCCCAGGTAACCTCCGTGGCAATAGTTTAATACTAGGAAAACAGGGCTGGTCAAATTTACCAGTAACCAGTATGCAAATGTCACCCGGGTAAAATACTTAAACTGCATCCCACCGACTGGGCTGGGGAGAATTTCTCATCAGCTCATTCGGTAGAGCATATGACTAGTAAACCAGAGGTCCCAGGTTCGACTCCTAGTGGAGGCATTGAAAAAAATTATGACCTCTGTTAGATTGGCGCCCACATAGGGACCCAGGTAATATTGACAGATATATTCAGCGATACTTTCACAAATCGCTGTGACCCCTGGAAAACTCGGGACAAGTTCTTTCTTTCCTCTTTACGCACCCTGGTAAAATACTAGCTGCTTTCTAACAACTAAGCTAGGGAGATTTTCTCTTTAGCTCATTGGGTAGCACGTAAGACTAGTTAGCCAGAGGCCCCAGGTTTGACTCCTGGCAGAGGCATTCAATTGTTATGGGGGGGGGGCATATAGTGTTGCCCATGTCCGTCCCGTCTCGATTCAATGTAAACGCCCGTCCCCGTCCCATCCCTGTCCCGTCCCATCCCGATTCAATGTAAACACTTAGCAACTTTGACAGATTTTGGTCAAACTTTATACAAAAGTCAAGTATGCTTCATTCCTTCATGGATTTTGGTCAAATTTTATGCAAAGGTCAAGTATCAGTATACTGCGGATATTGTTGTGTTTCAGGGTTCCAAGGTCAAGGCCAAGGTCACTTGCTATATATAGAAAATCATTCAACTGATTTAATTTAAACACTAAGCAACTTCATTCTTTCATGGATTTTGGTCAAACTTTATATAAAGGTCAAATATGGGTATACCTTTGACATCCTTGTGTTTCAGGATTGTAATAACATACAGAAAAAACATGAATATTAAAATCAACTTATCAATTTTAAGTGTAGTACCTTGAGTGTGTGCATGTGTCAGGGTATCAAGATCAAAGTGGTTGTAACATTTTAAAGAACAATGAAACTAATTTCAATGGCAGCTAGAGGTGTCACGATTCACCGCGATGCACTTGTACTGCGATTATTTATGTTCGATTCGTTTCACGATATATTTTTCCAGATTTTCGATACGTCACGATCTGAATATTAGTGTACGCCGCTTCAGCCAGTGTTACAGACATTCTCTTGTTAAAAAAAGTGATTTCTGTTACATAGATGTACTGACAGGTCTGATTGTATTGTAGGAAGGTGACCCCCTCTGACAACAGCATCCTGGAGCCTGTGAGAGCCAGTGCGGGGTCCAGCACCAGCAGCTTCACTCATGTGTCGGGACTGAACGAGGACTTTATGTCTCCGCGCAGCTCAGGAGGAGACCAGTCTGACATCACACAAACCCCGACCCCCAAGGACCCCACACCTGGACGGGCCAACATCAATCCCGAACTTACGCCAGGCTCTGTTCCACTTCCACCGGTCACCATTTCAGAGGAACAGGAACTACAGACACCAAAGTCTAAGGAGTCCCTCAATTCCTCAGGGGAAGTAACTCCAAAAGCTGAAAACAGACTGGCCAATGTGTGTATTGATGACCTCTTTGACACCCAGGAGAGCAGCAGCAGGCCAATCATTGGGAGAACTTTTGACAGCACTAGTAGTACAACAGGTTTTGATGTCAATGACATTGTCGGCCCTAAACACTCCAGTTCTAAAGAGTACGATGAAGATGACGAGGAGGTGGCCGAGGTGCTGGGGGAGACGATAGAGGAGGAGGAGGAGGAGGATAGCAAGGAGATCATGGAAGGTACTCAGCCGTTCGTGGAACAGGGAACGCAATCGTCCGCGGGTGATAGTGAAGGTCAACAGGTTCTCCGCGCCTGGCCACGCCCACCTGATGTCAACACAGAGGGGCAGTCTCACCCACAGAAAAGGTATGTGTCCTCTATGCAGAATATTTCCTAAGTATTCCTGGGTATGAAGAACAGTCTCATTCACCTCTGAGAATTTTAGTATATTTAAATATCCCCATTTTTAAATTAAATTAAAAAACAACTTCCCCATTATCCTTTTCAAAGTTTCAGTTTAGTTTGGTGCCGATTTTGAAATTCATTAAATGTGACCATCAGTATTTGTACTAGAGTACACTGAAGCAGTGCAGTCAAAAACATGGCAAGAATAGATCCTGAAAATTGTGCTCCAATAAGAAATCCATGAATGATACATGTAGCTGATAAGTTTTCAGGATCAATGCTAAGAACTTTATGGAATACTTCGTTATATTTAAGCACTATAAATATCGGAATCAATCCCAACATTTTTTTTCCAGTGAAAATATTTCCTTAATCCTGATAACTAGCAAAATTTTCCACCCAAAAAGGAATATTTTAATATGATGTTTTTTTGGGATCAATACCTAAAAGATACTGGATATAACAGAAAGTCTGGCAGCTTTAACACATCCTGAGTGAATTACTGAAAACAAACGTCAAAAGAGGAACGCTATCAAGTTTTCCACCTTTGGAATATATTGGGTTACACATTTATCAGTAGGTTATGAAAATATAAGATAAAGAACTGTTATATTTTTAAAAAAAATGGTGATTTGAATGTGTTTATTTCCTTATATCCCAAGTTGAAACAACCTGATTATATTAGTAGATTAACAACAGCTAAATACAACATGTTAAACTAGTATAATTTCAAAAAGATTCTGATTTAACACTCACGTTGTATGTATCATTATTTGATGACAACAAACCTAAAAGTATTGGATTTAATTTAGTTCTCAAAAATCATGTGTCGAAAATTTAACCGAGCAACTCATAATTGATCAAGCATTAAACAACCATATGATGGTGTTGCAATTCAAACTTTGATGGAAATTCCCAAACAGTTTTGATTGATAGATGATGTCAGATGTAAATCGTTACCACAGAAGGTGTTACCTCCCTCAAGAACGGCTGTTCCACTGTTTACAAAAATGTATTATTAACCGAAAGAGATCACCCAGAAAGATAAAGTACTGTATAGAGGTCATATTTTGCGGGGTTTTTAATTCTGCTATATTCACGCTTTAACTAATATCCAGTGAAATGAACTCAAATCAGATTATCACTGAACAACTGGGCAGTCAATGCAAAAACAACACTTACATATAAGTGGCCACAACATACTTATGTGTACACAGTAGGTGATTAATTGATAACAGTTTACTCCTACAAAGGTACACACACATTTGATTTTCTTTCGAGTGAAGTCACTGGCGGATGACGATGCTGGGGATCAGTGTACATGTTTTCAAACGGTTTACCTGTATTTCAAGGTTTTACCCTTAAATGATGACACTCAAAATACTTTGCATGACACATAGGATTCAGGTGCCCAGCGAAACTTAACCCCCGTGAATATGTACTGACTACGAAACCGCGAAATATTGATCCCGCCCTTTATAGTAAAAAAATATTTTTTAACATGAATTAACATTTACGCTGGTATATATATATATATGCAACACTGCTCTGTTCCAGCATATCTCAAAGACAGGCGACATTCATGTGTTCTTACTTCAATAACTTTACAAACCTTTTCATTGAAATTCAGTGTACAGTGCATTCACATTTCCAGTATATGTGTCGTTGTAGCTATGAAGATGAAGAGGAGGGAGATGACGATGTTCAGGTGGAGGGAGAGGAAATCTGTGAGGAGGACGAGGAGGAAGACGAGGACGACATTGTTGTCGGTGAACGGAAAGGAGAAATAGACACACAGAATCGGACACGGGACGAGAGTAGCGAGGAAATTGAGGAACATATAGAGGAACATTTGGAGGAGGAGGAGGAACACAATAGGTTTGTATACAGTAGCTGTGATTCAAAACTGGTTTTCTCATTAAAATCTGCATTTTGCAGAACACAATGCAGAATAAACAGTATCTGTTTTATTTGACTCATATTATTTGAGAGCAAACTTAGCCTTTTGGTTAAAATCAAATTTCTAAGATGAAAATTTAATACTGTGTGCTGAGAAATGACTTTTGCCTTTTTTGCTGTAATAAAGGCAAATTTTATGATATCATTGCAGCAATTCATAGTACACTATAAACCATGTATAATTATCATGAGTGAAGGACAAATTTAGCATCTAGCTAAGATGGAGTTTACCAGTGAAGGGCAAATTTAACATCTAGCTAAGATGGAGTTTACCAGTGAAGGGCAAATTTAACATCTAGCTAAGATGGAGTTTACCAGTGAAGGGCAAATTTAACATCTAGCTAAGATGGAGTTTACCAGTGAAGGGCAAATTTAACATCTAGCTAAGATGGAGTTTACCAGTGAAGGGCAAATTTAACATCTAGCTAAGATGGAGTTTACCAGTGAAGGGCAAATTTAACATCTAGCTAAGATGGAGTTTACCAGTGAAGGGCAAATTTAACATCTAGCTAAGATGGAGTTTACCAGTGAAGGGCAAATTTAACATCTAGCTAAGATGGAGTTTACCAGTGAAGGGCAAATTTAACATCTAGCTAAGATGGAGTTTACCAGTGAAGGGCAAATTTAACATCTAGCTAAGATGGAGTTTACCAGTGAAGGGCAAATTTAACATCTAGCTAAGATGGAGTTTACCAGTGAAGGGCAAATTTAACATCTAGCTAAGATGGAGTTTACCAGTGAAGGGCAAATTTAACATCTAGCTAAGATGGAGTTTACCAGTGAAGGGCAAATTTAACATCTAGCTAAGATGGAGTTTACCAGTGAAGGGCAAATTTAACATCTAGCTAAGATGGAGTTTACCAGTGAAGGGCAAATTTAACATCTAGCTAAGATGGAGTTTACCAGTGAAGGGCAAATTTAACATCTAGCTAAGATGGAGTTTACCAGTGAAGGGCAAATTTAACATCTAGCTAAGATGGAGTTTACCAGTGAAGGGCCAAAAGTTTCACTTTGCGAAGGTTTCTACGTATACAGTGAATATGTTTTGGAATATAACTTAAGTTTATTTTTCTATTGAAATTTTTGTTGGTAAGATATAGATATTGTTCATATGTTAGCTAACATCAAAGTATGAAACATGTAGACAAAAACATCTTTTCTGTGATAAATAAAAACTTCTAAATGATTCAAACCTTGACAACGTATAGCGTGATAAGTAAGGGGTAAGACCAGAACCAACCTGCGATGTCATTTGTAATAATACTGGATACAAAAAAATCTGATTTTTTTTTTTTACTTTGTTCCAAAAAGAAGAAGAAAAAGTGGTTAAGACATAACAACAATAACTCCCTGTATAAATGAGGGAGGTGAAAGTAGGGCCATTTTCGTTTACACAGTTAAACTGGTCGGACCACAGTTGTTCGTTTAGTAAATAAGGTCAGACCTAGTAACCTGATGCTGCTTTCAGGCGAGCCTTGACCAAAGCCTCGCAAGGCCTGCATAAATATTAGCAGGTCCGCCAGGATTTATACCCGAAATTGTTTCATTTATAAATGGACAAACTGGTTGTTCCTCATAAACGCCCTAAGTCATTTTAAAGGTAAGTATAGATAGGCTTGAATAAGGAACATTTTGTTACCCCTTAACTGTTGTAAAATATCAACATGTTTAAGCTTGATAGTTGTGTAATATATTCTGTATATCTGTTATACATTCAATTTTGTAGTCCAAAGGAAGCGCCCGTGTTGAAGGCTGCAGAGAGACATCAGATCTCGTCACCAAGGTACGGAGACAACACTTAGTACGAGGTCACCTTGTTTTTGACCTGTAATTGAGATCTTGAAAAGATAGGCGAGATATTATTGTTGTTCAGTTTAAGGTGGCCCTGGGTGAACACATTTGATTTAGTCGATAAAATATCTTTTGTGTGATAAGAAATAAAATAAAAGCAGACGTTGGAGAGAAACATTCGGTCAGCAATCACTCATTAGTTCACATCACATGATCTGTGTCTTCATCTGTCGTCATACATCATCCGTCATGCATTTTCGACTTCTTCAGAATTGCTGATTCAAAATCATTTGACTTCAAACTTGGTAAAAACATTCCATGTGATGGCCTCGGATTGGCCGAGACATTTTCGACTTCTTCTCAAGAATGGCTGAAGCAATTGACTGAAAACTTTGTAAAATGCTCTTACTTTTCATTCAGATTAGAAATTCCAAGATGCCCGCCCTAGTTTGTGATTGGCTGAGATATTTTTAACTTCTCAAGATCAGCTGCACCGATTGACTCCAAATTTTATACAAATGTTCTTTATGCACAAGTGTTGTTACTTTTCGTGCCGATCCAAAAATCCAAGATGGCCACCATGACCTCTGATTGGCCCACACATTTCAATTTGAACTAGGGCAACAGTTAAAGCCCTATTGGCCTCTTGTCTATATTTCTTCTCTCATTTATGATTCTAAAAGACAGTTTTACGATTTGACAGGAGATTTAGATTATAAACATGAGATTTACCATCATTGTAGGGACATACCTGTACCGGTACGAGAAATACACAGGGAAACTATCCGAGAAGTTATAGACAAGAAAGTTCTGTCCCAGGTAAGTTATATAAGTCAGATCACAGATCCCATATTTTGTGTTTCCTCCAGTTTTTACAGTGTTTTGTCACATTTTGTGTCACATTTCACAGATATTTGTCGTAAAAATTAAGTTAATGACCTTTAGTACTCTAATTTAAGATATACATAGTGTTTTAATTTTATATTGTTAAACATTGTCTGCGTTGTACAGTTACAGGATAATCTACAGAGCATGCTGCTAGCCCTGGTTTACATTGTTAAAAATTGTCTGCGTTGTACAGTTACAGGATAATCTACAGAGCGTGCTGCTAGCCCTGGAGGCTCAGAACAACCAGATACAGCGGCTACAGGATCAGCTGGTCGAGCAGCAGGAACAGCAGGCGGAGTTACAGCGACAGCAGATAGAGATGGAACAGCTGAGACAGATGGACAAACAGCCACAACCTAGCATAGAGGAACACCTGGGCAAGCTCGAGTCCATCGTCACCTCCCGCGTCGAGCGCATGTTTAGCCAACACGCAATGAAAGAAAGTATCCTTTATTTGGTGTTGTTGTAGATAGCAACAGTAATGATAATAAATAGTAATTCGAGGTTCTTTTATACCGCTTTATTACAACCTAGTTCGTAGGTTGTCTCAAAGCGGTTCACAAATTATTATCCGTGGTTATAGGGCCTTTGCAACCAGCCAATATCTTTCTGAGCTCCCTGGGGAGCATACAGTCAGTGCTGCCACTTCTGTGCTCACAGCTAGCGTTCTACAATTCTAGCACTGCCCAACCACTTACTCATTTACAGCTGAGTAGACTGGAACAAGCGAAGTAAAGTATCTTGCACTCGAACCAACAACCCTTCGGTCACGAGCCGGGCGCCCTACCACTAGACTACCGTGCCTCCTAACAGTGGAATATATGTGTTCATCTGGTGTCTTAGACTACATGTCGAGTGGGTTGGATGTATGGATATGTTTCTCAAGGCCAACAGCCAGCGTGAAGTAACCCATTTGTGCAGTGAAGGAGTATAATTGAAGGCAGAATAATGACATCATGTTACTATAGCAGAAAATGGTTCTTAAATGTTAGGGACCCATATTCTTGTTTCAATGCACCAATTTAATCAATGGATAACAACAGATGAGTTCTGACTACTGGGGTAATACAACATCTTGTATTATCACGGTGTGAAGTACAGGAGTTCTGACTACTGGGGTAATACAACATCTCGTATTATCACAGTGTGAAGTACAGGATCTTGTATTGCATGGCCTGAGAACCCAGCTCTACTATGTCAGATTCACTGGGTAATACCATATAATGATGTTTTCTTCAAATTTTCAAATTTTAATCATAGCTTTGTTCGAGGAAAACGCAAAGGATTTTCCTCACAAAGAAGTACAGAAGTACTAGTTTTGGAAAATTTAGTGTGCTCAGGATGATGGGATGGGTTGGGGGTATATCTACAGCAAGACGGATTGGAGTACAAGTTATACGAAGTTAGATAATCTTGTTAGTAGTTCACTGAGCACGAACCCTTTTAGTAAAATCACTTAGATAGTTGAAAGGCTTTCAGTAATATAGATGAATAGAATTCCAGTTTAACGATCATTTTAAATGAGGGATGATAAAGATATAGACATCTATAATACAGATTTCCTGGTTATAAGAAGCGCTGCGATTGTTTCATATAAATACTTAACCATGTATCAGACCAGCGGATACAGGATCTGTTACAGCAAACAGAACGTCGTGACCAGCATCGGCAAGACAAGTTACAGCAGGCCATTACACAGACGGTCAACCAAGCTGTCCAACTCAACCTAGAGAAACAGGTCAAGATGGAGATGAGAAACACACTTGTACCAAGTAAGACGAAGTCTTTTATTGGCATTGATTGTTATGCCCCCGCCATAAAATGGGGTGGGGGGGGATAGTGTTACCCTTGTCTGTACGTCCCGTCTTGTCCCGCCCTGTCATGCATGTCATGATTCAATGCTAACACTCTAGCAAGTTCATTCTTTGACAGATTTTCATCAAATTTTTTATAAATGTCAAAGGTATGCAAATACATCAGATGAGTTTGTGTTTTAGGATTCCAAGGTCAAGACCAAAGTCACCATTGCTATTTTTAGAAAACCATAGACCAGTTCATTGTCATCAGTAAACAAAGTTCTTTATTTCTTGATGGATTTTGATCAAACTGTATACACATGTTTAAGTATGAGAATACCTGTGTGTTTTAGGGTTCCAAGGTCAAGGTCACTGTTATTGTATATAGAAAATGATCAACTGGTACATTGTCCTCAGTCTGTGTACATGGTGGCAGGGGCATTCATGTCTTGCAGACATTTTCTAGTCTAAAATACATTTTACTTTTAATTTATTTCAGGAAATATACTTTGATGTAATTCCATATTTGTGTAGGAATGATTCATTGGAAATAAAACAACTTTGAAATATAGATATACATATTAAATATGTTTATTTTGTGCTCAATAAATTACACTCAATCAATTAAAAAAGGGGGGGGGGGACAGGAAAAATGAGAAGTTGAAGTTGTTTGACATAATTGAATACACAGTCAAATTTTTCCAAGTAGTTGAAAATTTCCAAAATGCCAAGTAAAGGTGATAGATAACATTACACTGCTTTCATGTACTTTTAGATGTAGCAAAAATTTTAGAACCAATCAAGGAACAGCTTCACCAGGACCTGGCTCAGAAGCTCACCGCCACAGACTCCCTTCTAAAGGACAACATCAGCAAGATGGTGCGGTCTAGAGTAAGTGTCTCAGTCTAGAGTAAGTGTCTCAGTCTAGAGTAAGTGTCTCAGTCTAGAGTAAGTGTCTCAGTCTAGAGTAAGTGTCTCAGTCTAGAGTAAGTGTCTCAGTCTAGAGTAAGTGTCTCAGTCTAGAGTAAGTGTCTCAGTCTAGAGTAAGTGTCTCAGTCTAGAGTAAGTGTCTCAGTCTAGAGTAAGTGTCTCAGTCTAGAGTAAGTGTCTCAGTCTAGAGTAAGTGTCTCAGTCTAGAGTAAGTGTCTCAGTCTAGAGTAAGTGTCTCAGTCTAGAGTAAGTGTCTCAGTCTAGAGTAAGTGTCTCAGTCTAGAGTAAGTGTCTCAGTCTAGAGTAAGTGTCTCAGTCTAGAGTAAGTGTCTCAGTCTAGAGTAAGTGTCTCAGTCTAGAGTAAGTGTCTCAGTCTAGAGTAAGTGTCTCAGTCTAGAGTAAGTGTCTCAGTCTAGAGTAAGTGTCTCAGTCTAGAGTAAGTGTCTCAGTCTAGAGTAAGTGTCTCAGTCTAGAGTAAGTGTCTCAGTCTAGAGTAAGTGTCTCAGTCTAGAGTAAGTGTCTCAGTCTAGAGTAAGTGTCTCAGTCTAGAGTAAGTGTCTCAGTCTAGAGTAAGTGTCTCAGTCTAGAGTAAGTGTCTCAGTCTAGAGTAAGTGTCTCAGTCTAGAGTAAGTGTCTCAGTCTAGAGTAAGTGTCTCAGTCTAGAGTAAGTGTCTCAGTCTAGAGTAAGTGTCTCAGTCTAGAGTAAGTGTCTCAGTCTAGAGTAAGTGTCTCAGTCTAGAGTAAGTGTCTCAGTCTAGAGTAAGTGTCTCAGTCTAGAGTAAGTGTCTCAGTCTAGAGTAAGTGTCTCAGTCTAGAGTAAGTGTCTCAGTCTAGAGTAAGTGTCTCAGTCTAGAGTAAGTGTCTCAGTCTAGAGTAAGTGTCTCAGTCTAGAGTAAGTGTCTCAGTCTAGAGTAAGTGTCTCAGTCTAGAGTAAGTGTCTCAGTCTAGAGTAAGTGTCTCAGTCTAGAGTAAGTGTCTCAGTCTAGAGTAAGTGTCTCAGTCTAGAGTAAGTGTCTCAGTCTAGAGTAAGTGTCTCAGTCTAGAGTAAGTGTCTCAGTCTAGAGTAAGTGTCTCAGTCTAGAGTAAGTGTCTCAGTCTAGAGTAAGTGTCTCAGTCTAGAGTAAGTGTCTCAGTCTAGAGTAAGTGTCTCAGTCTAGAGTAAGTGTCTCAGTCTAGAGTAAGTGTCTCAGTCTAGAGTAAGTGTCTCAGTCTAGAGTAAGTGTCTCAGTCTAGAGTAAGTGTCTCAGTCTAGAGTAAGTGTCTCAGTCTAGAGTAAGTGTCTCAGTCTAGAGTAAGTGTCTCAGTCTAGAGTAAGTGTCTCAGTCTAGAGTAAGTGTCTCAGTCTAGAGTAAGTGTCTCAGTCTAGAGTAAGTGTCTCAGTCTAGAGTAAGTGTCTCAGTCTAGAGTAAGTGTCTCAGTCTAGAGTAAGTGTCTCAGTCTAGAGTAAGTGTCTCAGTCTAGAGTAAGTGTCTCAGTCTAGAGTAAGTGTCTCAGTCTAGAGTAAGTGTCTCAGTCTAGAGTAAGTGTCTCAGTCTAGAGTAAGTGTCTCAGTCTAGAGTAAGTGTCTCAGTCTAGAGTAAGTGTCTCAGTCTAGAGTAAGTGTCTCAGTCTAGAGTAAGTGTCTCAGTCTAGAGTAAGTGTCTCAGTCTAGAGTAAGTGTCTCAGTCTAGAGTAAGTGTCTCAGTCTAGAGTAAGTGTCTCAGTCTAGAGTAAGTGTCTCAGTCTAGAGTAAGTGTCTCAGTCTAGAGTAAGTGTCTCAGTCTAGAGTAAGTGTCTCAGTCTAGAGTAAGTGTCTCAGTCTAGAGTAAGTGTCTCAGTCTAGAGTAAGTGTCTCAGTCTAGAGTAAGTGTCTCAGTCTAGAGTAAGTGTCTCAGTCTAGAGTAAGTGTCTCAGTCTAGAGTAAGTGTCTCAGTCTAGAGTAAGTGTCTCAGTCTAGAGTAAGTGTCTCAGTCTAGAGTAAGTGTCTCAGTCTAGAGTAAGTGTCTCAGTCTAGAGTAAGTGTCTCAGTCTAGAGTAAGTGTCTCAGTCTAGAGTAAGTGTCTCAGTCTAGAGTAAGTGTCTCAGTCTAGAGTAAGTGTCTCAGTCTAGAGTAAGTGTCTCAGTCTAGAGTAAGTGTCTCAGTCTAGAGTAAGTGTCTCAGTCTAGAGTAAGTGTCTCAGTCTAGAGTAAGTGTCTCAGTCTAGAGTAAGTGTCTCAGTCTAGAGTAAGTGTCTCAGTCTAGAGTAAGTGTCTCAGTCTAGAGTAAGTGTCTCAGTCTAGAGTAAGTGTCTCAGTCTAGAGTAAGTGTCTCAGTCTAGAGTAAGTGTCTCAGTCTAGAGTAAGTGTCTCAGTCTAGAGTAAGTGTCTCAGTCTAGAGTAAGTGTCTCAGTCTAGAGTAAGTGTCTCAGTCTAGAGTAAGTGTCTCAGTCTAGAGTAAGTGTCTCAGTCTAGAGTAAGTGTCTCAGTCTAGAGTAAGTGTCTCAGTCTAGGGTAAGTGTCTCAGTCTATGGTAAGTGTCTCAGTCTATAGTAAATGTCTCAGTCTAGAGTAAGTGTCTCAGTCTAGAGTAAGTGTCTCAGTCTAGAGTAAGTGTCTCAGTCTAGAGTAAGTGTCTCAGTCTAGCTATGTTCATTGTTGGAGTTGCTAAACACATGTAGTTATTCGTAGATCTTAATTCTTTCAACCCTATTTAACTTTAGTAGACTCTACCATGCATTTATCTGGATGAGTCCATTATGGTCTACAGTGGTGAAAGGGTTAAAGGTTTTATCTTACTGTTGCAAAAGTTTTACCTGTGATTGTGGGATGTATCCCTTGTTCATTTTTGATAGCATTCAGTAATGTTTTGGGCAGATATTTGAGTCCTTGACTGAAGCTCTTCCTGTGATACTTTTTAAAGACCCTCTATATCTCTTAGTAATGGGACTCATCAATATTTTGAAACTCACCCGAAAAAAACTTACAGATTTCACTGACATTATGTCGTCGCTAACTATTAACTGTGTTGTATATCAATCCAGAAGGTCTGTAATTGTATATCAGAAACAACTCAATGGTACAATGATCAAACTTTGCCTTGCTTGGCAATGCCTCACGTTTGGCTTTAACGTTGAGCGTTCGGCCAGGTGAGGAAGGCTATAGGTTCACACATACACACATGCACGCTTACACAACACACATGGAGGCCACGTCCTTAAATGACCTTAGCTGTTAATAGGACGTTAAACAAAATAAAACCAAACCTAACCATGATCTGTGATTGTGTTTCAGCAAACTGTAGATGCTATAGGAATGGCGGCAGGCAATGCCCTACAGACCCCCATACAGGTGGCTTACAGGGAGGCCTTCCAGAACATTGTAGTACCCAACTTTGAACGTTCCACGCAGAACATGTTTCAGCAAATCAACGAAACATTTACAAAAGGATCGAGAGAATGTAAGTTTCTTTGTATATGTCATGTAAAAAGGAATGCCTGATTCCATTATTCATTGCTTCCAACCTAAAGAGACTGAAAACGTATTTGTTTTTTATGCCAAGATTTACCTAATACTGGTGTTGGTACATGTACTAAGCTTTTAATTTATATTGCAGTGAGCTATAATATTGCTGAGTCAGATAAAGTCTCTATTTGCCCTGTGTAGAATTCGCCCCTTCACGTGTCAATAATATTTAGGGTAATTAACTGTATACTTATATACGCTGTCGTGATTAATAGAATCTTCCGTAGCCTACCTTGAGGGTGTGACAGAGAAATCTCCTACCCGAGGGTGTGACAGAGAAATCTCCTACCCGAGGGGTGATCTTTTTTGGTTGTCTAACCTGAGGCTCTGTCGGGGGTTAGACAACCAACAAAATCACCCTGAAGGTTAGAGATTTCTCCGTCACACCCTCAAGGTAGAGGATGATTTTTTTTTTTTCCCATCCAATAATTTCAGTCACAAATCCACCGACAGTAGTCTGCCATGTTTGGTAGGGTATGAATATCGTCATTCACTTTCGATGACGTCACAATTGAACCCGTGCTAATCGGCACAAGGCTATCTCCCCCTAGGGAATGACAAGCTAATCTTTTCCAGATAAAACGGGAGACACACCTGTGAAGGGTGGGAGAAAATGTTGTCCTTATTGTGGAGGGCAAAAAGGCGAATATTTCCCGGTCTACAATATAGGAGACATAATTGTTAAGTTTGAGATATTTGGATCTCCCCATGCAATTTAGTCACTTTGATTTGATATTGGAATGAAACTAACCCAGACAGTGTATATAAGGTTTCAATGTTCATCACTGTATGTTAAAGTTTTGTTTTTTGTTTCACTACAAAGTTTTGTAGGGTGTTTGACCTAGTAAATGTTGTAAGATACTAAACAGAGGTACTGGATTGCTTTAATTATGGAGGCACGGTAGTCTAGTGGTAGGACGCCGGGCTCGTGACCGAACGGTTGCGAGTTCGAGTCACGTCACGGCACTGTGTTGTATCATTGAACAAGATACTTTACTCCACCTGTTCCAGTCTACTCAGCTGTAAATTAGTACCTGGTTGGGCAGTGCTGAAAATTTTAGAATGATACCTGTGAGCGCCGAAATGGCAGCACCGGCTGTATGCTCCTCAGGGAGTTGAGATAGATATTGGCTGGTTGCAAAGGCCATATAACCACGGATAATAATTTGTGAACCGCTTTGAGACGACCTAGGTTGTGATAAAGTGGTATAAAAGAACCTCAAATTAATTTAAATACACTTTATTTTATAAAGTGACCTTAACGTACCTAAGGTCATCAATTTGATACATATTAAATATATATTAAATACCTTACGTTATGAACAAAATAGTTATCGTTTGCAGGATACATAAATTCACAAGTGATGCTTAATGCAAATTTTCGTGTAAATTAAGATCTTGCAAAATACATGTAATCCGTTCTAGTCAAGATAAATTGGCAGTGTATATATATATAGGGCTGTTGTTGACCTGTTGACAGATATCAAACACCTGGACACACACTTAGACCAAGTCAAACAAAAACACCTGGAGGCTCGAGATCCGGTTGTGGGACAGTTAAAACAGCTGACAGACTCATTCCGGACGTCTGCCGAGTCTATGCAGAGTACTGTGATGTCAGCAATACAGAGTCAAATACACACGGATATGGAGAGCTCAATGACAAGGTATGGTGTACAGCGACCTCGGCCACGTTTGTTACGTCGTCGTACCAGCTAGCTAATTAAGGTCTGACGATGGTCAGAGCCTGGTAACGTCACATGGAAAGGTCTGACGACGGTCAGAGCCTGGTAACATCACATGGAAAGGTCTGACGCTGGTCAGAGCCTGGTAACATCACATGGAAAGGTCTGACACAGTTTCGTCCGATGTGATGAAGGAGTATATTAAAGTTAAGATTTTACCACACATAACATAGTACTTCCTATGTGAATGAATATACAGATATTATACTGGGGAAGGGGAAATGATTCACCGGGCAAAAGGTGACCTGGTATTTATGAAACAACAAAAAACAAAGGAGTTTAAGATTCATTAGCATTTATTCATACAACAATGTTTGTCAACATAAGGGTCCTCACAGACACTGCTCATAACCTAACATAATGGTCCTCACAGACACTGCACATAACCTAACATAAGGGTCCTCACACACACTGCACATAACCTAACATTATAAGGGTCCTCACAGATACTGCACATAACCTAACATAAGGGTCCTCACAGACACTGCACATAACCTAACATAAGGGTCCTCACACACACTGCACATAACCTAACCTAAGGGTCCTCAGACACTGCATATAACCTAACATAAGGGTCCTCACACACACTGCACATAACCTAACATAAGGGTCCTCACACACACTGCACATAACCTAACATTAGGGTCCTCACACACACTGCACATAACCTAACATAAGGGTCCTCACACACACTGCACATAACCTAACCACACAAACACTGCACATAAACTAACCTGGAATTTTGAAGTCTCGACGAATGTGGTGTTGGCCCGGCTGACAATTTGCATGCATTATTAGTAGTGTCCATATAATGCAAAGAACATGGAAAGTCTATATACGATAGGGCTGTATGAACTGTGTGAAAGTGCCTGTGGCGTATGTTGAAATTTTGGTAGAGCACATGGCAGAACAGAGCTGTGCTAAAGGTTGATTCTAGTTCGTGTTGAGTTAACGGGTTAATGGGGTGCCAGGAAGCAGCTGGGCTGTGGAACAACCCCTACGTATACGTGCTACAACTTCCCTTGCCTGTGAATGGGGGCAGGAGCTGAGTTACACCGAAGTGATAAGACCCAAACGAATATGTGTAGCATATGACTGGAAGACTTGTCAGAACTTTTATAGCTCTTCAATTTCTTCTGGAGGTAAACTTCAACTACTTTGTGTATGAAAGAAACTAGCAGTACCTAACACTGTTCACTATTACTAACTCGCTTTCAAGATTGTTTCAAAATGTTCTGGTTTTTGTCTCACCGCCACGAAGAAGCGGTGGCGAGACTGATGTGTTGCTTTTCTGGCGGTGGTGTCAACAGTATAAGTGCTAGACTAACCAAACATGGACCATAGATGCATCTTAGGTACATCTCAACCTATGCAAAATGCTGGATGCGGCCTACCTTTCATGGTCCATTGACTTTGTCAGCATCTCCATCAACATTAAGTTTTTGCATTTAAGTTAGTTTCTCGGAAACTATATAAGTGCTAGACCAATCAAACTTGACATGTGCATTGATGGTCAAAGCGGGGCACAGGCGAGATATATCAATCCAAATGACTTGTATATTTTGCATATCTATTCAGGCCATGAATAAAGCCATATTGAACATGTTCCAGGAACCAGTGAATGTGTGTTATGACAATGTGGCAATCCTTGGAAGTCAAATCCCGTTGTATTTATAGTTTAACATTTGATGAATGTACAGTATGTTGATAGCTTCATAAAGGACAAGTGCTGTGGGAATGAAAATATAACTGAAGGATCTTACATTCAATAACATATTGAATGTGGATCAGACCTTTGTAGGGTAAACCTGAATTTCTTTGTTATGTAATGGTGTTTTTTTAAATATAATTGTTTCTGTACACAGTCTGCAGGATCAAGTTGTGCAGTTCGTGCGACAGGCCGTGAAGGAGGAGGTCAGTATAGCAGTCCGAGAACAAGGTGCTAGTATCAGCGACAGTGTGCTTTCAGCCATGAGGTCAGGGGCCGTGACCCCAATACAGGTGACCCCTGACCCCCATCAGGCCCAGACCCAAATCCTACAGTTACTACGTCAAGGTCAACTTAATGCTGCTTTCCAGGAGGTAAGGGTTTCTACAAACACCCTGTCTTATAATAACAAAAATGGTTAGTAACCCATTCACCCCTGACGACACATTTGAACTCTTCCAATTCAAAGGTTGGAATAGTTTATTATGAAATTTCAGGGGTGAATGAGTTGAGGGGATGTTAACTGGGGTTAGATACCATACAGTAATTACAGTGATGTTTTTTTCTCAGTTTTACAGCCGAATACTTGCAGGCTGTTTTCCCTAGATAAAAATTGCTTTATTTTCCCAAAATGACCAAAACATTAGGAATATTTTCCCAATTTCAATAAAAATAATGCTATATTTTCCCAATTCATAAAGGAACAGGCTGTTGTACAGTATTCATGGGGGCGTTTTATTATAACTGTTGAGTTAAAATTGAAGTCAACATTTCTGCTTAATTAACTTTATTTTATATGAAAATAAACATCACAAGAAATTGAGTAGTTTTGTTCTACTGAAATAAATAATTGGTTAGCTATATTTCTTTAGATATTGTCTAAATAACTTAACTCTACTGAATATCAATCACTATTTACATTTGCATGGCATTGTCACTATATAGCCTCTTTGAAAGCTGTGTCGTTGATAGGACTTTAATTACCATGCATCACGAGACACAATTCTTAGCGTATTAGTATATACAACACTGACCGGAACTACAATATCCAATAGGCCTATAAATAAACATGACGGCTGCTGAAATATCGCTGGGCATTGTGAGATTTGACAATGTCTAAATTTATGTGCAAAATAATAAAGAAAATAAAAAACACTTTTATTACAACGAAAACAAGACCAAGGTCTGCAATATCGTACAAAATGCACATCGGTTGAAATCACCAATGCCGGCAATGGAAACAATTTTAACGCTCGTTCAATTTATCAGAAATATTGTATGTTTCACTGCATTGATCAACAGGGGTTCGTTACAAATGTATGAAATACACATATTCTATAGACTTACTGACACATATGTTACAGACCTACTGATATGAGTCACAGCACACATAAACATTTCAGACATTTGTAACGAACCTGTGCTCCGTCGCAAGATCACTCACGTCAAACGCTATCAGTTTCACGCGACTCGCAGCCACCGTTTTCTTGAGTTTCTGACGACATGTCAAATAACGGGGCTGTTATAGAATCTACCGACTGTAGTCAGATTCCCATACCATCAACAAATAAATTCACGTCTGGATTCTTCACAAAATGAGCGAAGAGAAAAGTTTGAATCAACTTCCAAAAATAACTCCCTCCTGGAGGGCAAGGTCGGATTTCTGGTGTTCACTGTATTTATCAATGCGCGAAATTTGTTCCGGGGAAAAATCGAAACAATTTCAAAACTAACTCTCAGCTTAGAGTTCTATTGATAAACTTAAATCACCCTATAGACCTATCATACGCAATTGTATTGATACTGAATTGCGGAATACAATTGAAGTGTTTGTTATACTACTTTGTTTGCCAATCAGCACACGACAACACACTGTTCCAACTATTGAACGAATTTGTGTGGACTGTCGATAAGGCGGGAATTTTAAAGTTTAAATATAAATTGCATGTTAAAAAAGAACATAAGAACCAGAGAAAACGTAAATATAAGTATTGAACTGTTTTTGTATGGTATTTATGATCGCGCATTATGTTGTTTGCTTGCAAAGCTGTGTCATTCAAATCGATCATAAATACCATACAAAAACAGTTCAATCCTTAATTAATCATCGCTCATAAGATCTCTTCTAGCTATAAGTCTCATCGTGTCTTTGTGCTGAAGTATGATATTTGAAGCACGTAATTAAAGATTTGATTGAAGAATGGTTGTTGTTTTGTGACAGGCTCTGTCAGCATCGAACCTGGACCTGGTGATGTTTGTTTGTGAGACAGTGAACCCCCAACAAGTATTTAACCAGACGCCGTGTCCTCTACAACAGCCCGTCCTGCTCTCCCTCATACAACAGTTGTCAGCCGACCTCGCAAACAGCACCGAACTCAAACACAAGTAAGTAGGCCAGGGATGAATATGCTCTAGGTCTGTAGGTGTATAACCCGCCGGTGGCGAGGGTGGCTTCGAATCAACCACCGCATATGTATTAGAATAAAGTGTTTGTGTGCCTCTTATGATATTGTATACCGTATATATTGTTGTTAAATATTGGCAGTGACAACATGAACACAGAAACAATCATTTGTATTTCAGTTACAAGTGGGGGAATATTTAACTGAAACAGGAGAAACAAAGCTGGAATTGGGGAAATAGTCCTGGAGTAGGAAAGGGCAACTTGCCCTTAATTGGCCATAAAAAAAGGCCTGTATATATCCCTGTATACTCACTTCCTATGATATCGCCGGTTCTATGGTATTGCGGTACGGGATGTTTACGATGGATATATCCCTGTATACTCACTTCCTGTGATATCGCCGGTTCTATGGTATTGCGGTACCAGATGTTTTTACGATGCTGTACGCTGAGTGTATTTATTGAGCACTAGAAAGTTTTTGCTTGATCTATAGAAGGAACAGATACTTAAGATAAAAAACACTCAAGTAGTTTTATCTTTATTGTTAGGTTGGTTCGTGTAAATTTTCTGTGAATGTTAACAATCGCTATACCATAGAACTCCAGGCCACATCACTCGCAAACAAGAGGGTTTCAAAATTCAAACCAAATAATTGCCTCCACTTTCAGCTCTGAAAAACACAAGGGCCGCATTAATTTACAGCGATCCAAGTGGTTGTACTAGTTGGATCATTTATAAAATAAGGTCGGACCTAGTAATCGGATGCTGCGTTCAGGCCAGCTCTGACAAAGCTTTGCAAGGCCTTCATAAACATTTGTAGGTCCTACAGGATTTATACCCGAAAATGGTACTCTTAAAAACAGGCAAAAGGGTTGAACTGGATACGCGTAAGGGGCCGAAGTAATTTGGGTTAATTGGGCCTCATCTTTCACGATGGTGCGGAGCTTTCTTGCTTAGAGCTGCTGTTTCTTGCTCCATACTTTGGAATATTTTGGATGTTTTATTTTAGTTTATTTGGTGTGAATGAGCCAAAATTCATCACTACAAATTTTTACAATGCCAAAAATATGTTGCTGCATTATCCAGATTTCAGGAGCCCATCTTCCTACTTATTTTTTATCCACCAATTACTGACTTCTGTTGTTTCATATTACGCGAAAAAAACGTGTTTTTTTTGGCAAGATTAACACACTCCGTGCATAACGCACCAATAAAGATATGTTTTTGTCTGAAGATGTCATAGCTTTACCCCCTGCAATGAAGTTAATCAGCTTGTCTGTTCCTTCGTCTGTCATTCCGTCCTTCCCTCTGTCTGTCTGTAGAAAAAGTTTGTACGGACAACTCCTTCTAAAGTTATTGATCGATTTCAACGAAAGTTTCAAGATATGATAACTATCATCTGAAGTTGTGCATCCAGGTATATCTTACCTTTTTATGGAGTTATTGCCCTTTGTTGAAAAAAGCTTGCCCTCACAACTTCTCCAAAACTACAGGGCCAATTTCAACGAAAGTTTTACGTATGATAACTACCACCTGATGTAAAACACCTGGGTAAACAAAGTCTATAGAGGAGTTCAGACATTTACAAAACACAATGGACTGATGAATCAACTTCTAAAGGCATCCAATATCAACAAAATTTAGCACACAGGATCATCAAACACCAAAATTTGACAAACAAATGTCAAATTTTGGCAACGTCAAAATTTCCCAAGGATAGTAGTTCATATTTTTGGCAAATCCTGTCAGTCTTTTGTCAGATTAAAATCTAACTAAAAGTAATATGTCAGTATATAAAAGAAGCCTTGTTTCTATGTGTGAAAAGTCCAGTATTCATTGGCGATAAGTCCAGAAACTAAGATAGAATAGAATATCAAAAGGAGGTAATTACACGTCATATGATATAAAATAAATTAATATTTGGAGGAAACATGGTATTAAGCAAATTGTGACATTAAGAAGCATGTTATTAAGTGGAATCCTATGACCCGTGTCTGGTCACACAACAACAATATTGATTTTGTTACTACCACTTTTCTACTTTATACAGAAATTGAAAAGCTATTTTCCTGATAGTTTTGCTGTTTCCTTTCACAAACACAATTATAGATTGTGGGCATTTTAGGAAGTTAGACAAATTTGAAATTATTCCTAGTAGTGGTTCTTTACAATATGAACAGAACTTAATTTCTCAATTTGATGTGCAGTAGACAAGCTCCAGGCCTGGTAATCAAAGGTCAAGGGTTCAAATTCCTGCAGAGGAAATGTTTTTGTGGAAAAGGATATGACAATAAAAAATAATTATAAAAAATAATTCTCTAATATATAGTCTTTACAATAAATAGTAACTGAGCTAGCAACTGAAGACAGAAAAATGCGTAACAAATTAAATTGGAACTCTTTTTCATTGGAGATACAGTACTAGAGTGCTGGGACCTTCAACCTTAATATGAGAGCTATTTTTATCATGGTCAGATAACAACTATACATAGGCCCACTCTATCCTCTTCCTATGATTGTTTTTTATGTGTGAACTGTTCACTTGTGTGTAGAAATGTCTTTTTGAGTGAACGTGAGAAACAGTACAGTGGAACAAAGATTTGTACAACTCCTCAACAACAGGGAGTTATCTCTCTTGTTCTGGATGGAACGTTATCGCTGATATAACAATTATTGAACTAGGTCATCTGACCACACAATAGGGTCATACATGGTCGCACAGTAGGAAAAGGGTGAGAGTTTGGTGTGTTGATACACATAAACGTGGTGCAGTATTGTTAATTTACAGTATGGTATACTGATTTTTGTGCCTAGAAAATTTCTACTGTATATCCCAAAACCAATGCAAAAGGAATTTTTTCAAAATCATGTTTTTTTTGTGAGCGAGGTTCCAAAACTCACAAGGCATAGGCACCGATGAAAGAGAGGTAGAAAAATCACTGACAGGCAACAGAAAATAAAATAAACAGGAAATTAATAAAATGTTCGAATAAATCACCTTTAGCGTGGTTGAAAGTCCAGATTGATATGTGTGTGAATTTATGTAAGCATACATCCTGCTTACATATTTGTTTCCTTGATCACAGTTGTAGGGAATATTGGAATGATGCTTTACCACCAGTCTCTGTCCATCCCACCTCTGCTTCCCTTAAATAACTTCAGTTCCCAAGGGCTGATCTCATTCAAACTTCTTACACGTTCTCTTTAAACTTACAGCGAATGCTGTCTCTGGATTGATATTCAGGTCCAAAGCTCAGATTCAAAGGGCAAAAGCTATAATATAAAATAGGTTTCTGCAAAATTAGTCGAGTCCTTGTGGGCCCATCTAACTGTCACTCCTTATACTGGTCCGTACTGGAAGCACTTGTGTTGGATTGCTCTCAGGTCAGATGGTAAACGGTCAAGGTTTCTTTTAACTAGAAAGTTGTTCTCCGCTCAGCTGCAGTTTTCATAGACTATTAATGTTCAAACTGCTTCCTGAGGGAACATATAGTTGCTTTGGGTTGGTTTTCAGGTCTGAAGGTCAGGAGCATTTCCACAAAAACACATCCCAGATTTGATCTTTAAACTTTTCACACGAGTCTGTCACACTATATATACTCTCACACGAGCTGGTCACACTATATAAACTCTCACACGAGTCGGTCACACTATAAAAACTTCTCACACGAGTCGGTCACACTATATAAACTTCTCGCATGAGTCGGTCACACTATATAAACTTCTTGCATGAGTCGGTCACACTATATAGAGGTGCCCTTTGGTATTTGCTTTTTTTTTCTCCTTCCAAGAAATATTGAACTGGGATAGACCAAAACCTGAGATATGTCTATTTTCGTGCATGTTTGTGTATCCAGAGGAGGATTCGAGAACCATAACATGTCTTCAACCTTGTCATTGGAGTCCATCCTACTGCAGGAGGAACCTTGTCACAGGAGTCCATCCTACTGCAGGTGGAACCTTGTCATAGGAGTCCATCCTACTGCAGGAGGAACCTTGTCATAGGAGTCCATCCTACTGCAGGAGGAACCTTGTCATAGGAGTCCATCCTACTGCAGGAGGAACCTTGTCATAGGAGTCCATCCTACTGCAGGAGGAACCTTGTCATAGGAGTCCATCCTACTGCAGGAGGAACCTTGTCATAGGAGTCCATCCTACTGCAGGAGGAACCTTGTCATAGGAGTCCATCCTACTGCAGGAGGAACCTTGTCATAGGAGTCCATCCTACTGCAGGAGGAACCTTGTCATAGGAGTCCATCCTACTGCAGGAGGAACCTTGTCATAGGAGTCCATCCTACTGCAGGAGGAACCTTGTCATAGGAGTCCATCCTACTGCAGGAGGAACCTTGTCATAGGAGTCCATCCTACTGCAGGAGGAACCTTGTCATAGGAGTCCATCCTACTGCAGGAGGAACCTTGTCATAGGAGTCCATCCTACTGCAGGAGGAACCTTGTCATAGGAGTCCATCCTACTGCAGGAGGAACCTTGTCATAGGAGTCCATCCTACTGCAGGAGGAACCTTGTCATAGGAGTCCATCCTACTGCAGGAGGAACCTTGTCATAGGAGTCCATCCTACTGCAGGAGGAACCTTGTCATAGGAGTCCATCCTACTGCAGGAGGAACCTTGTCATAGGAGTCCATCCTACTGCAGGAGGAACCTTGTCATAGGAGTCCATCCTACTGCAGGAGGAACCTTGTCATAGGAGTCCATCCTACTGCAGGAGGAACCTTGTCATAGGAGTCCATCCTACTGCAGGAGGAACCTTGTCATAGGAGTCCATCCTACTGCAGGAGGAACCTTGTCATAGGAGTCCATCCTACTGCAGGAGGAACCTTGTCATAGGAGTCCATCCTACTGCAGGAGGAACCTTGTCATAGGAGTCCATCCTACTGCAGGAGGAACCTTGTCATAGGAGTCCATCCTACTGCAGGAGGAACCTTGTCATAGGAGTCCATCCTACTGCAGGAGGAACCTTGTC